CCTTAACCTTAACCTTAACTTAACCTTAACCTTAACCTTAACCTTAACCTTAACCTTAACCTTAACCTTAACCTTAACCTTAACCTAACCTTAACCTTAACCTTAACCTTAACCTTAACCTTAACTTAACCTTAACCTTAACCTAACTAACCTTAACCTTAACCTTAACCTTAACCTAACTTAACCTTAACCTTAACCTTATAACTTTAACCTTTAACCTTAACCTTAACCTTAACCTTAACCTTAACCTTAACCTTAACCTTAACCTTAACCTTAACCTTAACTTAACCGGCCCGGTTACCCCAGTCTAAATTTCGCCCTATCTCGGCTCCCGTCTCAGCGGTTCTCGCCCAAGTAGTAAGCGAACTGGTCTTGTGATCGGTGACGCGTGTAAGTTCCGGACTCGTCCATAATAGGACCCCGTCGGAGTATGCGATTTAAAGCGCCGCTACTCTCGCCAGTTTGCATATATAAACCTCTGAAGATACCACTGATGAGGAATAAAATCCGAAACTGCTCGTCTACCTCCATTGAGGGCAGTCTGGTATCTCTTCATCACGCCTCCAGCCCACCGATCTCACTCAGCCGCTTCGCGGCTTCGTTCGATCGCCACCTTAACCTAACCTAAGCGAAATCAAGATACCCGAATGGTTATCTACCCCCGGCGCCTACGTAAACCGGAAAGGTAGATAAGATAAGACTTAGATCTAATCAGATGACCGCAGATCAAGAATAAGCGTTAAAGCACACCCGGCAAATAAGGCCGAGCGTCAATACTTTAGCGCCCGGTACCCCCGGACCGTGGCACGTGACCGAATAGGCGCGCGCTTATGGAATGTTCGAGAAGGAATGGCACGTGTTATGACGTGACCTTGAGATATATACGCTATTGGTCCACGCCTTATGGCGTGATCATTGCACCTTCTACTGCGGATGAGTCATTGCTTACCTCCAGCCAATCAGATTAATTGCATTTGATTTGTCATGTTCGGAGATAGGTCTTTAGGATTCTATAGTGAGTTTTCAGCTTTGTAATCGATTTACATCATCGCTGACGAAAGAAATGTATCTTTTCATTTAATCTCTCACTCTAAAAAACTCGTACTAATCATACGTTACAAATGGTATTAATGGCACTGAAGAGACGCACGTCGAAATTGGTGTTAGGACTTCAACTTTTCGGAGTCCCCAATCTGCCCGATACCTCAAGCGCCTCAAGCCAACTAAGTATTTTTTTACTTCCCCCGACAATCCGGAAACTGATGTCCTCTCCCACGGAGTAGGGGCCCGGTGGATGGATAGGCCGGCCTGGCCCTCGCACCACATGGAACTACCTCGAGAATGACTCAAGTGCTTCACGCACTGCCTGCCAGTTTGCTATATAAAGAGATGACTCTGACCACTGAAGAGCAACTTGCGGAATTACCTAGCCCTCTCTCCTTAGTGGGGGGTAATCTGGGTCACTATCGCTCCCTCTTCTTCTCGACAGCTACCACCACCTCGCGACCTTCGGCCGCGTCAGTGGCCTCTTAACCTACTTTACACTCTTTAGCGTTCCAGCAGAAGCCTTCTCTATAACAGTAGCATCGTGCAAGGTATGCGAGGAATGACGGCTGGTCTTTGGTGGCGCGAGTGTACCATGGGCATGAGAAGCCAAGAACGACAAATCACGTCCGTGCACCGTGCTGCTGTAAGTCCAAAACGAAGAAGGCCCGCGGGTGAGAGCTGCTTAAATCTGGTCTCCGTCTCCATTGCCTTGTGACATATTGGCGGCTTTGAAGTCGAACATTTTCAATAACGCCCATATCTTTTATATACTGCTGTGGATGTGGATGTGGATGACGTAAGCATCGCAATCTGATGTGATTTCTTGTATATTCCAAGAGCGGTAGTGCCCTCGGGCTGGAACGTTTTGACTCCTGTTTGTTTATTCGTGGGGCCCCACTTGTGTGGATGTCTAGTGATCGTTCGTCGGAGACCAACCTCAAACGTTACCAGCATGGAATATATTTCCTTGATACCGAAGAGTGTAGCCGTGGCCAGCTGACTATTGTCGAAGCATCGTCGGCCATCCTTCATCCCACCCTGACTGCTTTTGAAACAACTTCGCAGTTTCCCATCGGGATGGTCTTAGTTCATGCGCCGATATACTTCCTTCCAACGCTCCGACATTTCTCCACGCTACATTCTCAATATCATAAAACATTGATGAGACCAACGGTATAGTACTTGCATTTTGTCACCATGCTGTTCGCTTCACTCACCTTGTTATTAGGTTTACTCTGCCTGTCTTCAGCAACACCGTTGATTTACGATGGACGAGCTCCATTCAACTTGACTGGGGAGATGCTTGACAATTCTATAGGTCCTTATTTAACGTTCGTTTTTCCGTTCGCACAGCATCCCCTTTGAAAGTTTACGCTGATGCCTTTCTAGCGTCGTGAAAGGGAGTACGGAAAATGCAACTTATGTGAAAAATTATATTTGTTGTTCTAGTTTCTGCTCATCACTCACATTGTCTCAGTATTCCCAGCTACTTGGGCATTCAACGTTACCAACACCGCTTTGGAACAAGGAGATGATTCCCTTTGTTCCTGTTCTCACACACCCTATCGAACAAGCCATCTCAATATCCATCGACAACACATCCATCTTCATCCCAGGTGGCTCACCTCCTCAGAATGGCTTTCGACGAACTGGGTTCATTGCCCAGATAGACGGGAACCATACCTACCTGAATGGAATAATGGAAGTCGGGACTACCGTCTTCCATGTCTCGATCAAAGGAAACACGCTCTTCCCTCTCAACTATACACACGAATATCAGATCGTCTGGATTGAACCAAACGACGGATCCCATGTATTTGAGATTCAAGTAGGTGAGTGACAGCGTAACGAGACGGGATCAAACAATTTTTTTTAAATTCCACATATGCAATTAAAGGATCTCCTTTCACCGACCCCACTGGACCCTTGCCTGCGCCAAAAGCCCACTACCTCAAAGTCCGCGATCATGCCCTAAACTTACTTTTCTACACACCTTTCACGATGGAAAATTGGCATAACTTCGCCGTCCAAATCAACTGGGAAAGTCGAACTCTAGGTGTCTACTACTCGACCGATGATGCCCCCCTTCAGGCAGTGACAGGCGTCCTTTCAAATCCTACCACATCAGCGGGCGCTACTGGACAAGGCGACTATCATTTTGGCGTTCTGAAGGTAGGTTGTTACTAGCTGTGTTCTCCTCCCACACCATACATGTCAGGCGAGCTAACATCACACTTCTGGTACTTGTGCAGTTACCTCTGGTAAATCCAGCTGATACGCCGGCTGAACAAGCCAACGTTGTCGATTACGGTATTCAAGAAGGTGACAAGGAAACTTTGCTGTACTCTGGAGTATTTGTTGAGCACATTACAAGAGGCGTGAGTGCGGGTAATGGACGGATGATCTCACCAATCTCGTAAAATAAATAAAGGTATATCGCTCCTTCTGGATAGTGTCTGGATATCCGAGTCGATGCTTCTTTTGTAGCTCGTTTGGAACATATTTTCCGGTCACTGTAAAACAAAATGCGGCATATATTGCACATATCGTAACTCTTCAATACCCCTCGCGATGCTATTTCCCCTAGCCTACAGCAGCTCGTGAATATATCTCAATAAGTGAGACTTCAGGAACGGTGATGTGAGCTTACCTTCGGTCATAATAAATAGTGAGCAAGTATGAGACAAGGGGAGAACGAGAACCTGTTCGAACTGAGCTCGAGCCAGGAGTCAGTGTGTCGGATTATTAATAATTTGGGCAGCCTGAAGGAGTGACATCGTGATACCAGTGGTACTATTATATATAAGTAGATTCACTATCCATATCATGTAAAATAAATATATTGCTTGTCAGCGTCCCAAAGCTTCTATTCAAGTTTAATTGGCGAGAAGTAATTTCTGTTCCCTCTCTGAAGTCTGGATTGGGTCAACTCGTGGCGCCGCATCAAGAGAACTTGTTGTATGCAGGTTCTGAACTCCCAAACGAGAGTCTTGTTAGGGTTGTTGGTTCCTACGTGATTTGGGAATATATCATGAATTTTCGGAGGATCACATAGTGCTCTCAGAAAACTGTACCTTGGTGGAAGATCCATCAGCCTCCAATTCAACATGAGAATGGGATCCCGGCATGGCTCGGAAATCTGACAAAATAACACCTTGTGAAAGAATGTTGGCCGATGCCGGGACTTCTCTAAGTGACTCCCGCGCATTAAGACTGCAGAACTGATTTAGCTTAACACGAGGAGCAAGACACAAGGAGCATACGTAGCTAACAAAGAGTTCGCATAAACTGGATCAATATCAGTACCTTTATCGCAGACATTGAATATTGATATTGTAGAACACATACGGTTATTGATGAATTGGTACAGTGCAAGATAGATTAAGTTGCCAGGCATAGTGACAAACTATTTTCAACTCTGGATTTCAGCACAAGGAGGGATACCTTAGGCTAGCTGACATACGCAAATCAAGATAGCAACATCTGTCACGCTGTTAATCGACAAATCCAGCAGTCAGTAGTCAGTCACATCACATGCATATCCTCGAAACTAGACGCACCTTGTTAAAACCCCAGAGCTAATGACATATGATATAATTCTGGAGACAATTGTGTTTGTGCTTGCAAATCAAGTTAGCTGGAGTATTGAAAATGACACGTATAAAGTCTCACACCTTTTCAACCCACTACGTCTGCTGGCCAAAAGGTAGACTATTGATACAGTGATGATGATATCATTTGCTGCAGCAACAGCGAGAGATGCTGTATAATATGGCTATCGCCAGATTAGGATTATAAATGTTAGCATGATCGACTGAGTTGGCAAGCTTAAGCTTACTTCTATCCTGTGAAATTGAGAGAATTCGGGCCATTTGAAAGTCAAAGCCATGACACCTACGTGAACATTCCATAGACAATTACACACAGACGCAGACGTTGACTTGTGTTACTTACCGATTTCGAGTACTTCAGGGTCTCTAATAGAATCAAATCCCACCGCGCAAGAAAGGATATCCACTCACCAAAGTGACAGACAGCCAGGATGGACTAAAGATGGTTGCTTTTCATTTCGAAAGACCAGACAGCTTGATTGACATCGGCTTACCACGATGCTAACCAACAATTTATTGCGTAAACTCACTACGGTGACGTCAGTCTCAGTATTCATATAATTGATCAAAACATACTCACAAATCCATATCCGACGTGCATAGAAACTAACATAAAATCAGCGTGGCGGCACACAAAAAGACGTCAGCATGTACCAATGGACCAAGAAAATGATTGAACCCTAAGATGTAAGGATGAGCAAAATCGGATTAAGCTGCGTACAGAGAAAACCTACCGTGATGCCTGTTGTTACCTATACAAAAACCACGAACGATAAAATCTTTTTGACAATCACATAAGCATGAACTTACGTCGTCAGACCTATAGAAGGATTTTGAGCAAGATCCTGGCGATTATTAAATAGGGAAAACTCACACTTGCGTTCTCGCGCGAGCGGCAGGATCATTAAATTCTAGTACTAAGGAACGCCATGTGAAGGAACATATGAGAAATGTGTGGACAGTCTCAAGAAGCCTGAAAATGAACACATCGGTGTTCAGCTTTCCGCGAGCAGAGCTCTATCTTAATGGTCATACCAGAGGAGTAAGACCTGAATATCAAGTTAGTATAAGCACATCCCAGATCATTGATGAAATATCGTACGACAGATTTGATATTCCTAGCGTCCTTGTTCCAAAATTTCGAGTAGTAGTAGTATATCTGCATAGACGTCATGCCATACAGTCTGAAAAAAGTGGTCAATGCAACTTGTAACTGACACGAAAAGATATGGACTTGCGTAGTCGAGATAAAGTTGCCAATCAAGACAGCCCCTAAGGTCGGTACAAGGACTCTGCTAGTCATATTCAGCGGTTTGGAGCGGAGAGATGTTTGTATTGGATATTGGCTATTATATATCGTTGAGCAAAATGAAGGAGAGACGTTGTTGTCAAAAGCCTATGAGTAAGATGAGAGTCGTAGATTGAATGTAACCGGCAATACCTGGTGCTATCATTGTCATCTTCATCAAAGCGATGCCATGAAAATGACTCAAAATAATAATATTATGGCAAGGTGCCAAACTAAAATAAAACATGTGAGCGGTGCCGGTAAACATGGGTGAGTACCTTACAATCAGTTTTAGAGCCGCAGCTAACGGATATCAACGTCCAATGATAGTCACATAGCGTATCATGATGGCACACCGTTGAGACCCATCATGATTCTGCATTGACACCTATGTGAATTTGGGAGACTATTGTATGTGTATCAAGACAATATTGAATGGTCCAGGCTGAGCATGGTCCGGCAAATGCCATGATAATGAATTTTTGACAACCCGGCGCGCGTTGATGTGACTCCGCTCAAGTTGAACCAACTTGAAACCTGAACCACCAACATGCACGGGTCAAAGGTCCAATTAAATGCTCTCCATCTGTAATCTAATCCTGTTAACGTCAGGCGAAGATTACTGCGCTCATCTCACACAAAAGTAAAATTTCACGCCCACACATGTCACTCAACATCATCATGATGTGTGCAATGTTTATATGGTGCATACCACATATCAGCATATTTCCGGCACCTGCGAGTCACACCTACCCCCCTGGCCGCTCTGAGCCCATAATTTAACCCTCAAACGATCAAAGCAAACATATTTCTGATACAGCAATCAGAGGAACGAGAGTCTACTGCAACTAGTGGCCAATCAGATCGCTTCATCAGCATTTCATCATGCACTTTCTCGCTCGACATTTAATCCATAGTAATTTGTGGGTATGTCTTCTAACTCCCCGACTACAATGCTATTCTGATGCGGATGCGGCGCAGTTTCGTTGTCTTCGTACCCCTTTGACAGTACCCAGGCAAAAGGCTGAGATAATGTTTCCGATCAGAATAGCTTTCTGGCTATCAATGCGGGAGTACAAGATCCCTGGCGTATTTAAATTGTAAAGTGAAGTTATTTTCCTTTGAAACCTAATACAATGAGTGTCACTTCGTCCATACTGCATCCTCCGACTTTTCGCTTTGGCCTTGTTCCTAGCGCGCCTTCAAGAGGTAAAATATTGGAACTTTTGACTGCCCATGGTATGATCCCACCTTTTTCTAGACTTACACATCAAGCGAACATCTTTTAGCACGTTCTCGAGTGCTATCAGCTTTGGCCCATGGCGTTATAAAGGGCCAGCTCATCGTCGATGATACTAGTAGCGCAGAGTCGCATCAGTTCGGAACATGCGTAGAAGGCCGTCCTCCCGTAGTTCTCAAAGTCGTTAGCCAGGCTATGTGGGCCCGAATCCTATTGTCAAATGACCTGGGCGGTGAGTCCCCTATAATCTCGAGTGAATTGTCTATTTACCTACCATTAGTCGCTGAGGCTTATATGCAAGGCGACTTTGATGTATCTAGTCTGAAAGCTATGTTTGATGTATGTCTGCCACCCTCCGGGCTGATGCCTGATCTGACCCATTCGAGCAGCTTTGGCTCGACAATCGTCACGCACTGTCCAATTTATCAAGTACATTTAGCTCTATTTTTGCACTCTTTTCCGCGGTAGCTATAAAGGCCCTTGGCCGGCAGAATTTAACGATGGCCCGCTGGAATGTAGTGAGTCGTCCGCATCTCATTCTCCCGCATCTTATTTTACAAAAATTCAGGAGGTTGCATACGATACTTCAAATGAATTCTTCAAGGTATCTCCTCACACTTACGCAGCTAAAATATTTCTGACAGCCTTTGCTAGTGTTTCCTTAGCAAAGAAATGATGTATTCATGTGCTATATGGGGTGAAGAAGAAAATGGCGTACGTGGAGATCTGACCATCGGACCTACTCCTGGAGACCTCGAATCAGCCCAGCACCGTAAGATTCACCATATATTGAAGAAAGCTCGCGTTCGCGCTGGAGACAGACTTTTGGAGATTGGTTCGGGTTGGGGTGCTCTAGCTATTGAGGTATGGCATTCATTGCGGGAAAAGAAATCTCGAATGAGAGTTGTTGGCTTATATCTTTTAGGCCGCTCGATTAGGGTGTACAGTTGATACTGTGACTCTTTCCGTAGAGCAAAAGGCAATGACTGAAGAGAGGGCTGCAGCTGCTGGATTCTCCGACTGCATCCGTGTTCATCTGTGCGACTATCGCAAGCTTCCAGAGGCCTTCAAGGGCCAATTCGATGCCTTCGTTAGCTCGGAGATGTTTGAGGTAAACATCTTTGTATACCAAAAACTTTCGGGAGATTTACGCAATCTCAACAGGCTGTTGGACCGAAGCACCATGGTGAATATTTCAGCATGATGGATTGGGCTTTGAAGGAGGATCGAGCAGCGGCTGTTATCACCGCGACAACGCAAGCCGAGTCTCGCTATACTGACTATCAGTATGAGCATTTTTTACATTGCAGATAGTCTCATTGACGACAATATCCCCTTAGGCCAGATGACTTCGCTCGCCATTACCACTGGCCGAATTGTCATCTCCCTAGCGCGACGAGCTTTGCTGCTGCAGTGCAAGCTGCTGTCCCTGGTCGGTTCATCCTGGAGAGCATTGAAGATCATGGAATACGTACGTTTGTTGGAGCATGGTTAAGAACAGACTAATGAGATACTCCCAAAGACTATCCGCGCACCCTCCGCGAATGGGGCAGGTATGTTAAGGTTGCTGTGCATGTCGCATTATAATGTTACCTATTGATTCTTCTACAGGCGTCTTGAGAAAAACTTTAACGGCGAAGTCGCGGAGCATATGAAAGAAAGGTTTCCGCAGCTTTGTGACGAAAGGAATCTGGAAGCATTCAGACGGAAGTGGATGTATATGTTTGCATATGCAGAAGCTGGTTACGCTAAGGCTTACACGTCTTTGAATTGCTGGACACTCGCTAGGCCGGTAAGTTATAGGTCTCACCACTGGAGATCCTGTAGCATGCGCTAATACAAAAGTGGGGCAGGAAAATGTGTCCACAGTTTGTGATTAAAGGATGGAGTAAAGTCATACATGGACGTTGCTGTCGTAGACTGGATCTTGTGTGCACATCATAGAGAGACGTTGCTTGTGAAATACGGTAATTTACTATGAACTGACTTGTGAGATGCTTTTCTTACCGTAAATGAAGAGACGAGTGAACTTGGTGCTCTATTCATTGTGAGCTTCGACAGTGGATGACCTAGCTAAATTGCAATCAGTAGGCTTCAAAGTACACAAGCTCATCTATGTACACCCGCCATTGCCCATTCGAATTCCATGCGTTTATAGTACAAGATGCATTGATTCTAATTGTTGTAGTGCATAACTAACATTCAATTGAGTGACCTCACTCCCTATCTGCCTCGACATCCTCCCCATCTTCACGTCCACCGGCACTCTGGCGTTCCTGCAATGCCCACTTCTCATCTTTCTGCGAGTGAAGCGGCAACCCTCTCATCAGCAAACTAGACAAGAGCCCAATACCTGCTACAACGATAAGAATCTTCCAGAGCATTACTAGCGACACTGCAAACGCCTGACGTACGACTGCCTTCGTGAGTGGAGGAAGTTGCGGGATGAGCGGAATGATGGAGTACGCGATGTCTGTGCTTTGAGCTGATTGTGTGCCTTGGAAGAGCGTGAGGGGAGTACGTTTCTGAAGTTCGTTTTGGAGCACTGCGCCTTCAATCGTCACAGCCCAGACCTTGAAAAGGGAAAAAAGAAAATAGTCATGAGCCAAAAACCTGGCACATTATGAATAGGGCACATACCTGCGCAAGAGTACGAACAAAAACAAAGAAGGACAACGCATACGCGTTTGAAGTCACAGGCAACGGGGCGAGGACAGGGAAATATGTGCCTGAAAACACAATTCCGACACCTATTCCGATGATGACTTGATATCCAATCGACTTTGCCTGCGCGGTGTTCTCGTCTACGGTGGTGAGTAGCCCAAGGCCGAGTAGCATACAACACCACGCAAACCATAACTGGGGCCTGTATCGCTTCGTTGCCCTGACGCTGAGGCCAGCAAAGATGGAGAAGGGAGCAGTGGAGAAACTGAGCCCGAAGAGATCAACGCCGGATGCAGTTGGAGATGTGTCTTTGCAAGCTTGATAATACACTGGCATGTAATCTAGTATGTAAAACTGTGAGCTTCAAGATGCTGGATGAAAACGATTCAAGCGTACAGAGAATGCTGATGTTGATGAACGCTCCCAGTGATATTTGAATATATCTGGTATTGTGCAAAGAAGTCAACACCCATTGAGTGGATCTGGCATGATGAAATTACCCGCTCAAACTAGTCCGATTCGAGAGCAAATTCCATGGTACCTGGATCAGAATTAGCTCATGGATCAACTGCAACTTGAAATAGAGCGCACTAGTGGAGTCTGACACCAGAGACTTTCAAACAAGAAGAACATAATCAAACCTGCGAAACCTAGGCAGATGGGGATGAGGACTTGAGCACTCTTCCACGGGTAAACAACGCCGCCCCATGTGAGCCCAATCACACAAGCACATGTTGCACCAATGATAATAAAATTACCACTGATTTTCGAGTTGCGTTCAGCGGTATGAAATATTTGATGATAAAACACACTCACATCCAGTCTATCCGAGCCATCTTTTCCTTTAGGGTCCCTACCGGAGTCGGAAGCCTGAGAAACAGTAACACAAGTAGAAAAGCCAAGCCAGCGATAGGTATGTTGAGATCTGTAAGCCAAATCAAAGACCCCAATCAAAATGATCAGATCATATACGTACAAAAAAGCCAGCGCCACCTAGAGGGCTGAGCTAAAGCTCCACCAACTAAGGGACCTATGCCGCCACCTAAAGCCCATGTTCTGGAGGTATTATGAGAGGCAGTCTACATTTATTACGGATAATAAAACTTACAGCCCGAAGAGTCCACTGTACGTTCCACGTTCTTTGAGAGTGACCATGTCCGAGAGGATAATCTGACTTAAAGTGAATATACCTCCTGCACCTGATCCTTGGATAGCTGGGATAGATCAATATAAGAGATAAGAATTGTGTGGGTGGAAGATGACCCATACTACGTGCTGCAATCAGCATGTTCATGCTCTGAGCCGCGCCGCCCAACGCACTTCCCAGAGCAAACAATACAAGAGAAGCTAGGACGATGGGGCGTCGGCCAAAAATCTGGGACCACAGTTAATGAGCGACGATTTGACAAGAATGTAGGCCGATTTTTATACATACTTCAGCTATACCGCCACTGAGAGGAAGGAGGGCAGTGCTTGCAAGACCGTACGCAGTTGCAACCCAGACAAATTGGTTACTGTGGAGCTCTGTTACGATAGTTGGCAAGGCTGTCGAGACTGAATACTAGTAATGAAGGAAAAATCAGCTCGAGTTATATAAACTAAAGATTGGAAAATGAAGCGTACACTCTCCAGCTGAGCCAGAAAGACAGAGACAAGGAGTGCCCCTAAGACCAGCCAAAACTGTGAGTCCTTGGCCGCCAGACCAGATGAATCAGACTGAGGGACATCTTCAAGAAGCTGGACAGGTTTTGCGAGAGCCTCTAAACTGTTATCGTGCTGTGACATTCTAAAGTTCCCTTAAGCGAAAAGACCTCCTCGACTCGGAAGGTAAAAATGGGGTTTTAATGCGACTGGAACTCGTATTTTAGGAGCGCATCCTAGAAGGCCGTGGCAAGCATACGTACCGCATCATTCCAGTGAGAGCACACTGTAAAATAATCAATAATGGCATTTGCCTGCATACAAACTTACGAACTACAGGAGCCTATCAGAAACATCGCATCTGATCGGACTGTACTGATTCAAAACACATGGAATTTGAATACAAGAGCAAACCGGATCTGCTTAACTCAACCACCGGGAGCCTGGGTATTTGTGGGCAGGGCTGCCGCTGGCATGTTCCCACTGTTGACAGCTGGTGCTACGGAGAGTAACAGAGATAGCCTGGCAGCCGCATCCTCCTGACTCGGAGGTGAAGTTGGATTAACGCAGTACAGCAGGGAAGTGGCCCCAAAAAGGCACTGCGTTCTCACGCGTTAGAGACCACTGCCCTCAGTGGCACTGCCGCAAAGTTCGACATAATCTTCTATTCTATAATGTCTTCAGTGCACCGCGATTTCTAGAAGTTCTAGCATATGAAGTGCGGTCGATTCAGCATTACACGTACACCTACAGTTCCGGTGGCCATAGCTTGGAACTGGCACTGCACAGCCCACTGACAAGACGTTTCTCTCGTAGCAATCTAGAGGAGCTGCCTGAATACGTTTTTTCTTCCGAGTGGTCGTTGTCAGGTCAGGTGGATAAGATGCCAATTGTCTTCATACGTCGTGGTACCAGCAACTGGGCCAAGATGATCCACCATTGTTTATCATGTTTCAGTGAGTGCGTCTCACTATTCAAGCTTTGTCTTGCCACTGAAGACACCGATATCTCAGCAATCCACATAAGAACAGACGAAAAATCCTGTACAGCTGTGCGGCACTGTTTTGTTTGTAGTGAATCACTATTATGGTCAATCTTGCGGAAAAAACAGTAAAATGTCTGGCCACGCCACATTCCAACGTTCGAGGCCTTGTCGTGTGTGGACCTACCAGCGAATAGTATAAATATCATCCTTCCTGCATGAGACTGCTATCTTATTAGTATCTCGAACAATCACTCCCACGTCACTCGACTGCAATCTCTCGAATATATTATTTTCCGATAACCTTTACCCCGCGTAGGCCAACCAGAACTCACTCCATTGTCCTCCAATTAACCGTGTTTCCTTATTATTGTTATCAGATTGTACTCTTGCCAATCGCCACACGACTTTTCTGCTGAGATGGCCGATATTGTTTGCATTACCTGCCAATCGACTGTTTCTCGATCCGATTTCAACGAACACGTACGGTCCAACTGCCGCACTTATCGTAAATCTAGTCCCAGCATGACAGTGCCACGCAGCAATGCCTCGAGGCAGCCCTCGCCCAACCCTTTCAATCATGTACAGTCGGTGAGTTACATCGTACTTGATATCTCTACAGAGAACATGTCCTCATCTATAATATTGCAGCACGCATTCGCTCGAGAGCAGATGGACAACAGAACTGCCACCCAGCCTCCATCCAATGGTCCTCAAAGGGTCGAGATTTACGCACATCATTCGAACCCGAGTCCCAATACGGACCACCAGATTATTTATATTCCTGAAGGCTTAGAAATCACCCCTTCTCACCAGAAGATAGTGGTCCATCTCCCCGGCCTTGACGTGGTATTGTATCCCTATCCAAAGGAACGCACCTGAATAAAGAAGATAAATTATGTATCATATAATGATCGTTGCATATACATGGACAACATCAAAACATGTAATATTCGAAGGTTTAGATTGTACCGTATTTAACAAATCCTCAAACATAAAAGAAATGTTGTTTCAGAACTTGAAACCACCTGCAAGACCCATGACATTTTGAGGATCGACCTCAGCTTTGAGACGCTGTAACAGCGGGAGGTTATCGCCATAAAGACTCTCCAAGGGTGTGTCATAGATGGCATAGTTGCTGTACGGGGCTGCATCTGCTACGTCTTGACCCAAAGAAACTGCCTTGTTGCGGAGGGTCGAAGCAGTTTGCCTAATTGCGTTTTGCATGACATCATCTGCCACAGGGAAAGACCATGCGTAGTAGATGTTGAGAGGTAAAAGCCCTTGCGCCCGTGAGGGAGGATACGCAGATGGAGTGGAATTGTGAGTAAAGAGCGTAGGTAAGAAAGACTCGACGTCGTAGGAAATGAAGAAAGTCGAGTCAAGGATGAGATTTGTACCGTAATACTAAATGGTGGGGAACTTGAGTGAATGGTGCATTAAGAACAAGTTTAAAGCCCTTACGATTGTTTCATTCAAAATGGCTTGGACAAGGGCAAGTGGATAGTCCAAAACAGAGATAGTGTTGAAGATGCCACTGCCAGAAAATCAGAAACGAGCTACGCAATGCAGATACTCAGGAATCTCACCGGAACTGCGCAGTAGCATTTGACGGTGATGATTGTACGAGAGAGGCAAAAGATCTAGTAGATATATCACTGGTAAAGTAAGGAATGGCCAAAAATTCGTCGAATAATCCAGAGGGTGGTGTTGGGTAATCATAAAATAATATTTGAGACACACCAGGCTGCGAGGACGGGTGGTAAGTTGGAAGATCTTAAGACAGCAGTGAGTAAGTACAACCTCGCCTAAAAGAAAGTTGTAGGTTGTAATGATAGCAGCCTTAGGGTCGGTGTTGTTAGCAACGAAGTTTGCAGTGGCGGCGTTGACGAGATCGAGAGTGTTCGCAGTGAAAGTGATCAATCCCCCCTGAGAACTAGATGAATAAGTGCTGGCATAACATACGTTTGCAAACTTACCCAGACTTCCGTCTGCGGGAACACTCTCAAAGTGAACCTGGTAACTATGCCCTGAAAGACGGGAATTAACGCGCCAATCAGATGGTTGAATGGGAAAAATCATACGAAGTTGTTATAGCCCCCCTAAATCAATGTTATCAGAAGCAGTTTAGAAAATCAGTCAGTCATTACTACGTACTTTTAAGCCAAAGAACAGATCGGGACTTGATGCTTCAGTCACGTTGGTTACCGTTCCATTAGGCATGACGAGCTCAAACGCTTCGACTGTGTCAATAGTCAGACCATATTGATTAGTCTTCCACGAATATCCTTCCGTCAAAATTGAGTGAGTTACAACAAAGAGTCGAGCCTCGTCACATGAATGGAACATACCTCCACCCAAGGTAAATCCTGCAACTCCTACACCCGTAACCCTGCCACCCACAACATTTACACTGTATGGCTCAAGAGCGGCGTAAACGTCATCCCAAACTAAACCAGCTCCAATTGTAGCTGTCTGTGCTGTAGAGTCATAAGCAACCTCAGAAAAACGGTACAGGGCAATCTGCACTCCTGTTGTGGAAGAAAATCCAGGATTTGAAGCGTGTCCGCCACCTTTGACCTGTTATAGTGCCTATCAGATCAAAGGTTCCCCCATTCATCCATCTTCTACAAATAAACTGACCGCGAATTGTGTGCTTGTGTTTCCCAAGATTTGCAGCTGTAAATAGACAATCAGTCACAGGTATCACAACATAGGTGCACCGGCACGGATGGACGACTCCTACCGCTATTGCGACATCTTCAGCCGTCCCAGGTTCAAATGAGCAAGTAGAAGCTTGAGAACTAGAGGACGCCCAGTGATAAACATCCTTGTCGTAGTCGACTAACCTCATATTTTGTTCAGAAATTATCTTGGAAACTATTGATGAAAAAGACATGGACCCACAGGAAAGCAAACCAGGATAAAAAACACTGGAGGCGGAAGACACTGCTGCTGCTATACTCTGGCAGGTATCAATAACACTACTTCTTGCATGTTGAGGCGAATTTGCGAGAGCAGAGGCACTAGCTACACTCCATAGAAAATATACGACGAGCTTCCCAGCGAGCAGAACACGGTGGGAGAGCATTTTCAACTTGAAGTTTATCCCGTGAAACGACCGCGACGTATTATAGTTTCTTTATCAATAGCGAGAGGTTTGTCAGTAGGCGTACCTGCCAACCGCCAAGATGAAGACCGCGACAGCAAAAATGCGCTAATACAGAACAAGCTTGAGTGATACTTTGTTTACATATGAAATGCATCCTTTGTTACTGCCAGTGTGAAATCCATTCTCGTCATCCGGGGTCAGTCAGCCACTGCAAGTCGAGTGTCCGCGGAAGATGGCAACTGTATATACTACGTGAGATTTTTCAGCTAAAGAACTCGAGCTTGGTGGCATCCAAGTCTGAACTCCTATCGGTCCTGTAGGAAAACAATGGTTTTTTTTAATAGCTTGACAGTGTAGTGAGCGGTCTGACCAACATGGCTCACGAACTTCGGTTCCCTTATGACAAGCACGTGACGACATGCTGGACCTGGCCCCAAAGGCACCAATGTTAATACCACCCGCTATCGGGCCAAAGTTGCTATAGTCCATATGGTTACATTCCGATGGAAGGAAGTTGTTATCATACGTCATTTTCGGAAGAAAATAGAAACATACGACATGCTTGACGGTGGTATTTTGTCAGTGGGTGATCGCCGTCTTGCTGAGCAAGTCGTAAGCCCAGGTCGACGCTGGTCGACGACGTCGCGACTGGTTGACCTGAAGGGTTCTAAGATCGAGACTGGAATGGAACGTCACTGCCCCATTTTTTAATTCCGGTTAGTCCATGTGGTCTCTAGCAGTAAAAGACGAACGCGAGGTTGGTCCCGCGGCTTAGCCTAGAACTATTTTGGCTAAACGGCAGTACTCCTGGACAATCGTTGCGCGGTTGCAGTTGCGGTTAGTTTACGAAAACATGTCTAACTCACCAATAAATAGAGCTAAGGCCTTCGGGACCTCACCAGCCATTCCTATTTATCGTTCTCTAGATCCCTGCGTAGAAATAAAAGTGTAGAAGGAATGTGTTGCTGCGGCCGCAGTGCAGCGAAGACATTAACTTTGTCAAGCGGCATCCGCAAGCCGAATCAAGCGGAGCTCGTCAGCAGGCCAAATGTTTTGCCAATAGGTGTGCCTAAGCGGGGCTAGCGTTGATCATCTTGGTATAACCATTGCCCGTTCCAGTGATAACTTGAAACTTTCCAAAGGCGTTGTTCTCCTATAGCTATCTGCAAATGCCCTCGGCGAAGCTATATGCAGCTAGGAAAATACCTGTAATCATAGGAGTTCACTTGTTTATGTTTTCTGGTTGTAATGCGGTTATCGAGTCTGTGGGTGCCCAAGAGTATATCTAGTACCACCTTTAATAGCTATCCGATGATAGTACTGATATTCATGCGGCTATCTTGTGGGGCGACTACTGTCTTACAGAGCTCCAAGCTTCTAAGCCCATGCTGATCAGTTACAGTTACTAGTCACTAGTGATCCTATGGCTGCAATAGTAATACTGAGGCAGATATGCCAGCGAGATATGTTGCATCCTTCAGTCAATCTGTTAGTATGTGACAGAGTTCTCTCGAAGACGAATAGACTGTTAAAACAAGGCCTGACCTAGGCTATTTTGGTGAAGCAGCACCCTATGAAAGTATGACAGAACAGGATGCTGATTCACAAATAATCCAGGAAAGCAGTTGTCGTTACTATATATATATATCCTCAGGAGGGCACGACATCACGGGGTATCGACCTGGACCAGAAGTTTCTTCCAGTAATTTACTCATCGTCCACACTATCAAGGTCCGCTGCTACAAAGCAGAGGCAGACATACAAGGCAGATGCAGATACAGCTAGAAACCTGGTGAATGGAGGACACCTACCAAAAAGTCGCATTTGTGCTCGGACGACAGGAGTTCAGACCATGAAATAAGGACTCGGGAACATGGTGTCGAACACTGGGTGTGTAATGTGCACCCAAATTCACATTCTCCCACACCATATAGTCTGACTCGGAGGAGTACTACCACTGTGATCGGTGACTTGCAATAATTCAGTTTGAAACCCTCTGTTGGTCTAGTATAGGACGGTTGCCAGGCAGTTGGATGGTTTTGCACTCCAATGAGCGAGGACTTTGTAGTCCTGATCGCATTGCTCAGACTCTAATCCGCATCGAAAACGACGAAAGTCCGAGAAAAGCAGTTCATTGAGGGTCCAGTGATATTTTGACAGCGATGAAGCCCAACAATGTATTTTTTGAAAGGCGAATGTTCCACGAAGGTGTCGCGAGCCCACGACTGCATTTAGTGACTGATGACCCCTAATTTCGAGAGCTACTCGTGTAGGCATCTTTTTTTCTGAAGACGTTCCATTCCATCGGCCTTCACATGTGAGTCTCGTCCATTTTCTACCGCTGACCCTATTGGTGATTGAGCCAACATTTTTCCCATACGTCCAATACATCCGGACACGAAGAAGAAGAAACCGTGTGGACCGCGAGGGGAGAATGACGGAGAAAAGGGCTGCGACATGAACAACGCCGTCAGCAGGAGTCTTTGGGCCACCTATTTCCAGTTCATTAGGTTTGTTGTTGATACACCCCGTGTTGGCGGGCTTCTTATACCCATGGCCTCAATAGCCACAATCCTCGAAGTCCTGGCCGTATCAAAGTAACAAGGCTATTGACAACCACTTTGGAGCGACCTCGGAAGCCGCACTCGGTACTGAAATAGAATGTTTACAACATGAAGGCCATGCCGTCTCGTCAGTCCTTTTAATAGATCACCATCAACAGAGAGCAGGAAGCGTGTCTCTATCGTGAGTTCCTGCGGATGACGGAGGGCGTGAGGAACTTTAAACCTTTCGGAACTAACCGTTGCCTCGCTCGTCGGGTATGCCAGAATAATCATTCAGCTCAAATGTCGAGAACAGATTGATTGTTTCGTGTAATAGACCAAGGTCATCCAATGCAGTGAGGAGATCTAGCAGGATACCCGTTGAAATCTTCCCCAGTAGGTGACCCGAAAAAGAGACGAGAGCGATGGCAGGTGCTTGATCAATTGGTGAACGAAATATGCGGGTCCGAGTGGGTACAGTTTGAACCCTTGAAGTATTGAGTAATAGACTTTAAGTGCGGGCGGAGCGATGGTTTAGACCAGGGAGACCACAGCAAAATTTATTTTCTGTTTCATCCGGAGGGTCTATCCAGAAAAAATAGATCAAAGAGCAGAAGTATTTCCGTCTAGAGGACATCCAAGACAGGACTCTTGACAGGGCCGCTAGATAAATGAAATGTCTGTGCAAGGGCTACAAGCATACATTCCGTTTCGTACAATACGTGGGACCAGAGCTTCCAATGATCGGATTGAGAATCGAGGACATGCGTAAAAGTTCTGGACTAGATGTCCGGAATCACAAGACATCTGTGCATGGTGAGAAGACCTTGTTCCAAGCGGCCCCTGGATCTTTGTGATGATGTGAGGATACGTATGATCTGCCGACCCCATAGCGAAACCATGTGATGTCAAGGTGTGGGAGCTTGGACATGGAAGGGGATTGAATAGTCGAAGGAGTCGTCCCAAGGGAACAAAGTCAACCAGGAAGAGTAGGCTTCAAACGAACTGTGCTTGTGGTTTCAAAGTTTAATCGTCACGATGTCAACTACGGGCCTCGAGCGCAAAGGAAATGTTATTGGTGAAACATGATCGAAAACAGCACTAGTAAAGTGTGGATGGATGAAGGAGATTCGATGGAGTATCATTGCCAGGCATGGAAGATGATTCAGATCATCAGACGTTGCGTGATATTGACATGGGATCCAATTGAAAAATCAGCATCAGCATTCCAGTTTGTGGAGAGCGATAGCCAGACATTCGGATTATGGCCACAAGGTTGTCGACGGCAGAGTCAGCCAGTCCAACCCTTCCAGATACAAGCAGCTATGAAGCCTGCGTTTAGCAGATTTCCAGCGCGGGATGAAGATGAATGGAAATCTTACATTATATGCGTATTGGAGCATCCTCTGGACCCTAGTTTCCCACTGTGTGAAGGCGAAAATCATCAATGACTGAGGAGCAATTACCCAGCGTTCTTGTGCGTATGAACCGCCAAAACCAATCCTATAAAAATGAAATAGAATAAGAATAATGGAAAGGGTAGCTGTGAAGTTAAAAGCAATGTATGAATAGTCAAGGTCTAAAGCAATTGTTTTGGTATCGCGTGCCCCTCGCTTTCGTGGACGGACCTCTGATTCCCACCGCGGTAATGAGAAGACCCATTTATTTCAGTTCTGGACAGAGCTCCAATAGAGTGACAGGATAAATAAAGGTCTCTATAGATTGACCTCGGCCATGGAACACGACGAGAAACAACTGCTGTAATTTAGGCCATGCCCATCGCAAATTCTTTCAAAACATCACCATCCATTGAAAGCGGAAAAATTGTGTCGACCTTGACTTCCGAAGACTATGAAAGGTGGCAGTATAACGCGTGGGAGCAGTAAGCATACATTATTTTTTGATGAAACATATTGAGAAGCAGTGGCCTACTCGAAAACCCAAACCCCCAGTGAAAGCGTTGAGCTGACGTTCATGTATCTTGAGACACCCGTGCATGGTCACTGTCGAGAGATGAGTGGTTTTGGGGGTTTGCAACGGAAAAAGGGCTGGTCTGCTGGTCTGTATTATTGGTGCTGCGTCGTAGTGACACGTTAGATCGTCGTGGCCTTCCTTTTTCGTCATGCCTTTATGGATGCGTAGCGAGTTCCAAGTCTTCGAGGCTGTATTGGTAATATGACTATGTCATTTTCGACCTGTGATCCTCGCTGTGCCAGCACTGCGCCGAAAGTGTACTTCTTGCCTTTCGAAAAATATAGTATCCGCCTTCTGTTCTTCGTGTATACGTATTGAACTTATTTCGCACAAAGGCAAGAACAGATAGGACTGTTGCGGGTTCGCCTTGCGCATTGATTGCTACTCCTCGGAAACGTAATGGGACTTGTCGGTCGTCACAAATTGGTCGCTGTTGTGCATATCATTGGAAAACGTCGAATGCCATATACGATTTGGACCGACCACCTGGTTGAGTATGAATCAGAAAGGCCGACGGATATTGAGGAATCGTTAGGCAAACCGGAAAAGGACGCTAAAACAGGTGAGTTAATTTAACGTCTCAAAATAACCTAGTGCTGTAGCTCCTTCGAGCTTATGCGGATGCAAGCCTGGTCTCGCAGACACTATATATACTAGGATTTCAGACGCACCGGTAGTGATTACAGCGATAACAAAATGCTCACCATCATTCCTAGATATATCGTATGGTCATTGAATATTGAATACCAGCAAACCAACAATGAGCGTTTCGCTCATAGGCGCTCGGTACAATAAATAGCAAGCCGCATAAAGACTGCCCCCATTTTTAGCCAGCGTTATCCATGCTCATATTACTTAGGGCCTTGGTATTGGGAAAGCTTGCACCGCGCGGTAATTCGAGATTCCGTACGCCTGTCATTCGCTACTGTGGTAAATCATATTCCATTGTCAATGAGTGATGCCTCGATCTCGATGACAGGCGCAGTTGTTAGAAAGTCGACTAGAGCTGCTTGTTCACTACGCCTAATGCCTTTATCAGCGTAGAAGACTTTGTGTGAGAGTTTTCCATGAAACTTTAGAAGCTTCGTGAACACTTGATGCTATCCGATTGAAGCAGATTTACTCACAGCCATTAATCTGTACTTAGTGTCTTCAAGTTAAGCATGTTCTTTTTGCAAAGGCCTTGCCTTACAGCGAGCTTGGAGGAAAGGTGAGTTGAGGGCAGTGTCGACTCTCACCGGCGCTTTAATTTGAGCGCCAATTTGTTTAGCTAACACTGGCACGATCCCAAACAATCATTGTGCCCCTTTCTCTCATGTCAAGGACTTAAGTTTGCATACATATGGACTGCAGAAATACTTATCTCGACACGACGATGGGAAGATCATTACCATTGCATCTATGGCCAAGCTTACTCGAACCGCTTAAGCGCTGTCTAAAATTCTCCAGCGCTATACGGGCAGATACCATCAGTAACTCATGACAAAGACATGTCATATTGACGCCCATCGACGCCTTTATGGTAAGTAAATTTTGTCTGTTACGATGTCAACCTGTAACTATCAAATGGCCTGACGATGATCTTGCGATAGTGTAATGATAGCGGTGCGTACAGCATCGATGACCCAAATGTCGGAGAATAAAAAACACAAACACATGAAGGTTTAAATTCCTGATTATCACATCTCAGGACCTCCTGTCCTTAGACCGAGGCAGTTAGTCCCATCGGAACCAGTCATCTCGAGTCAGTTGGCCCTTGCTTGACACTCCCGGAACTACTACTATTTTCTCCCTCGGTCTCGGCGATCACGCAGTCAGGCCCAAGTCATCACTAGCGCTATTGGCAAGCATCGCCACTTTTAAACAACATAAGTACATCGTAAACGCTACCCATCCTCGAAATTTCTCCTAAAAATGTCAAGTCCCTACGTCTACTCTCCCCCCGCATACGAACCGACACCATATCTTTATTCTTATCATAATCAACCTCAACGGTCCCCCTTCATCCCACCAGCTACTTTATTCCCTTCCTCACCCCATACTCCTTCGTCTCCTTATATTGGCCTTCCAAACACACCACAGGGAGTACACTTTGACGATGGCTACTGGCAACCTCCTCCTCGAGTTAGGAGACCATCGTGGCATGCTGGGACGGAACAAGCTCCGCCGAGCCCCTCCTTCCTCTCCATACCACAACAACCCAACCACAACCGAAGACACTCCTTCGGCCACCATTATACCCCTTGGACTGGAGCTCCTCCAGGCTCACCATGGTCGCATCGTCCCTCATCTCCTCACTTCCAGATCCACCCTCTCCTGAACGGAGAAGCACCACGCTCAGATTTTTACTTCGACCTCGCCTCTCCAAGTTTTACCCCTATGCGATGGATCAGCCCTGGGCAGAGTGTCGTTGTCTCTTGGGAGGAGCTGCGACAGCCTGCCACGTATCCTTCTATCACTTCCATGCGCATCACTCACCCCGCGATCCCAAAATGGCCTATTGACTTGGAGTACCACTATGACAATAGTGGTAGTTCGTATACTGCAACCGCTCCACTTCCGATCACCCTGGCAGACGTCCTACAAGCCATTCATTATGCGCTGCATAAACAGATCAGCCATCGTGATTGGGCCGAACTCACATTGTCTGAAGAAACTGCTATTGCGCGTGCTTATACCCGTCGGTGCAGGAGTGTCCCTTCTTCAGCTCAGGTGGAGGCGAGCCAGGGAGTTAAGAGAGTTGACTATCTTAAGGATAAATTTATGTTCAGAGGACTTGTTAGGGCCCAGGATGAAGACGGATTTTACCACTGGAAGATGATTACTTGACATTCTATTTAAAGAGTGCTTAGCTGACACTTTTTATGTACGATACTGATGAGTATTTATCGTCTCAGTTTCTTTCCCACTAACCTGCTCCTATTACACCACTAATCGTATGCTTTATGGATACATGTACCTTATGATTGTTCGAACTTGGAACAATGTCATGCCTTTAAAACAGTCTGATAAACGTCAATCCTAGTTTTTGCTCAGTTCATATTTCTCGGGGAGCCTCGATTGAAATATCCGAGTGTCGATCACAATCGAACAACACGAGGCTTTGAATCGATACCTTTAGGACATGGTTCCTCGCATCATTTCAATGTGCATTCAAAATACACTTTGTCGATAACCCAGCCCGCATCTCAGTTGTCATCCGACTTTCAGTCTTTCGAACCTGTTTAGTTACAAGGCCTCGCAACGTTGACTATGTTGACAAAAACGTCACTGTTTCATTACTGCATAGATAGCGCGCAGTGTGCTGCGTTGGGGCTGCGGCCATCATCTTGTTGTCCGAAGCGCCTAATACAGTCCCTCGTAGTCTAAGGCCCATTTGGATGTAAACTCACGAAACAGCAGACCTTCGGGTCTTATCTTCCGCCGATGCGTGAGTAAGAATACTTGTGAACTTCGAAGTCTTTGCAGGCCGCCTACCCTCTGAACCTCAACCATATTTTATCCCAGCAGTGCGAAAAGGGTCATCTTTCCTATTCGAATGCGAATAGGATAGCCAGCCATTGGTTCAACTGGCCGCAGTGCGGTCGAGGAACATGTTCACAGCAAGGATGGCGGATCATAATCAGCTCCATATCCAAAATACATGATGATTCTCTTCGGCATATGAATGTGAGAGTCCACGTTGACCGTTAAGCCGCAAAACTGCATACGCCCACATACTCGTCGTATTACTATCGTCGAGAAGCGAGGACGCCACTGGACCTACGAACGTTTTTCAGATTTCATCAAGTCTAGATGCGAAGCAAGATTGCAACTCACCATAGCCCAACCATTCTACATTCATGCTACTCGTCGATCTGTGAAATCTGCGGATCCGCCACTTTAGTTGATCCAGATACCATCATTATAGCGGTATACACGGTAGGTCAGCTAATCGCAGGAGATACTGCCACAGATATCTCAGACTATATCCTCCGAAACAGGAGCTTGCACAACTAGATAATGACTTAATCACATATCAGAGAGTTTCAGGAGAAGGTCACAGCGCTGATACCCTATCCAACTGGTTGCATTTATATGAAAGGGCTGCAACATCAGGGAAGACCTCGGGCAGACAATACGCCGGTTGAGACGTCCATGCCACAATGTGGTCGGGCTCGCCGAGGGCCGTATTATTGACATTATGTGCAATAAGATAGTTGAGCTGCACAGGTGGATGGCGCGATTAAATAAATTGGATAGGAGGTGATGCGGTTGGATAAGAATAACTTACTTGGAAATCCGATTTTGATGCAAAATGAGCCTGGTTTTGTCAAATTGCTGTTGGGGAGAAGGTCATATGGTGATAATTAAAGCGTCAGAGCGCTAGGCCTAGGCTTAGTCCAGAAGAACCTGAGCAGCACTACACAGGATCTGATCCACTGCAGATCTAGGACACGAACTTCAACGTGACGAAGACCAGCAACACCATCAACACACCGCTCAGTGCATCCAGCATCAAGCTCAAGCCGTGTGCTAAAAAAAAAGTGGGCTTTATGTCTACTGGGGTAATCTATATGTCAAGAATATCGGTGTTCCGTTCGGATTGGGAACGCGCTGGAGAATCACAAATATTTTCAATCATGTTAATACCGCCAGGGGACTTTTAATGTTGAGAAAAAAACGTTGACTCACTGGCGTTAACATGCGACCAACGACCACGGTCAAATACGGGGAAAGTAAACCAACACTACAGGATCTGGTAGTAGAAAACTTACTGCGATTGTATTTGGAAGAGTGCAATGGCATCGGGAAAGTCAACTCCGACATGTCAGTAATTTGATCGAGTAAGGGTTAATATGGAATATCAGAGTAACCTTTACAAAGATTGAGCTTACAGGAAGATAGGAGATAATATGGATACAGAGTCATTAAAAGCGACTAAAACACAGCCTAAATCCCCGCCGTAATCATTCATCCATGACAAATGTGACCGAAGGGAAGATAATTCAAGACACCTGGAGAAAGTCATTTTTGGCTGCATTCGCGCCCTGATTGAGACCGTGCTCTATACGTGATTTTAGCACCACGAAACATCAGGAGAGTGATTAATATCACATAGGCAGTCGTTCGTGACTTGAAAAGGGGCGTAGAGACAAAAGGGCTAAAGCTCACGCACCAAATTCCCAGATATTTCCACTTGATCCAGATTCTGCTATGTGCATCTGAGTTTTGTTTCTCGCCCAACTTCCCAAGAATCCGAGCTCAGATACAAACGTTGGTGCATCTCCGCTGTTCCAAGATAAAAACAAGTATGCATCATCCCAACCTTGGACAAAACCTTGCTCAAAACGCCAGTACTCGTGATGGCCAGGATACCTCGACCAATAATCAATATGTTGACCTAAGATACAGAAAGAAACGTAGTTCAGGTAGAAACAATGCATGAGCACAACCCTTGTGCGTACCGAGTGCCACGTCTTTTGCAGAGCCTCTTCTTGCTTGCCTTTGTGGTGTGTCTGCAAGACAAACATTCCTGGGTTTGACCCCGACATAGTTAGGAAAAACCCCTCCTTCAACCGCATCCCTAAATGACCATCCGCAATCACCCTTGTGTTCCTTCTTGTACGTCCAAAAAAACCAGCCAGCACAGTATCTTTCAAACAATGCTAATTGAGCACTGATATAGTTCTTCCTCGCCTGGTACTCATCTGCGCCATGTAAGGATCCGGGGTTTAATGCTCCGGACCACTCGCCCACGACTAGTCCGCCACTTGCATCTCCTAGTTTTTGTGCAGCCTCAGCAAATGCTCGTGGAGTGGGTGCATTGAGGTCGGATAGTGACCCCGAGTGCTGAGCTGCGGGAGTAGCTATATCCGAAGAAGTAAAACAGCGATAAAGATGATGATCAAGAGCAACTATAGGTGATGAATGTGAGGCGGGTAATGATTGGATGAACCCAGTGTACTCTTCCGTCATCCAGCAATCCGAGATGTATATCGGAAGCCCCGGGTCAATGGCTCTCAACTCTCGAATAACATCAATATACCAGCGTTGAAGATTTTTGTGAGACGGAGGTTGTGGCTCATTCAAAAGTTCCACGCCAACAACATTGTACAGTGGAGGTGAGTGAGATTGGCAATACGTAAGAAGATTTCGGATGAGAATCCTTAGGACCCTGATCCCATGCTGAAGGTTGGAGCGGCTTTGAAAGAACGTCGGATTGGAGGATGAAGTCCCAGAGTGAGAGTCCCGATTTTGCTTGCCCGGTGCGGCATGGAGATCTATGGGATCGATACATCAAATAGTTGTCGAATATCCAAGATAGCATTACGGACCAAACAGAACACCGATACCATAACGTTGAGCAGTAGAAATGGCTTGCATGATCCTGTGCCAAGCACCCTCAAAGACTGGTTCCAGGCCTGAGAAATCAGTCTTCTCGAGCACCGTTGGGTCAGCACCACATAGGTGGTAGTACCCTATCTGATCCCAGAGTTACTACTTGTGGCAGAAGGGGAATCGGGGGCTGTCTATGGTATTAAAAAGCATACCGGAATTCGGACTGCATTGATCCCTCTTCTAGCGAGCCAGGCGAAGTCAGCTTCTGTGATCCACGTATCCCAGTGGAGCTCCAAGATTTCTTTTGCGTGTTCCCCACGGGCGATGTCAAGATCACTTTGGCCAGGACTTGCAGCACACCGAAAAGGATATTCAGTGATCCAACGCTCAAGCACGAACCAGGAACCTATGACATGTGAACTCCGAATTTGCAAACAGCCAGAAGATTCGCACACCCAGGTTAACACCATGTTGTTTGCGATAACGATATATGCTCTGCTCTATATTTTCGGATGGATCACCTGGCGGGTGAGTCGTTGCGGAAGAAAACTTTGGCTGCCGAATGATGGTGCCCTTCGTACCGTGGAATAGATGCTTTAGGGTGTTCATGTTTGACAGTGGTCGTTTTCAAACTACCAGTTTGCACGTAGTTCTATATGCAACGATTTTCAAGACTGGAGGAATAGACTTTCTGGACTGTGACAATGCAAGAAGCAAATGCGACTTGACTGGAATGAGTCGAAAGCACAGTCGCAAGTCCGACCGCTGAGTGGCGGGTTGTTTGGATCCAAGGCTGTTGCCAAACAAACAATATTTCAACCTTCGACTCGCCGAGAACCAGTTCAATGTTCAATCTCAATACAAGTAAGTGTAAGTAGACGTGGTATATTTTTCTTCGCTAGTGGGTACTAGAACAAACTTTATGCATATATTTTCCATACCGGTCCAGGTCGTGTAGGGCTGAGTTCCTTCGAACCAATAGGCCTTCCCTTTCGGGTTTTCTGGGGGCAATCTCAAGGTGTTGCAGTAATCCTCGTGCACCAGGCTGCCTTGGATTACGCAAGGTGGAAAATGCATCAAGGCTTTTTTACTCACAATCATACTTCCAGTCGAAAGAACAAAATTTACTGTCATATTCAGGAGGTGGTCGGTGGTCGTTCCCTGAGGTTCGGCACTCGCTTTCACCCGCACCTCGTGCCCAACACGAAAATTGTGGAGCGGACATCGCGTACAAGCTAAGAGGCTGAATTATACTCCTTCCGTAAGACCGAACTGCATTCCTGCTGCCTTCGAGCTTACGGAAGTCCACGATGGACATTCCTACCCGCACTTCAGGTTAGTGGCCTCCGCAAGCCTTATCTATACGGACTTATGTGGCAGGAGTCTTTCAGACCGAGTCGCTTATTGGTCCCTTTACGATATTCTCGCAGATTGGAGCTTTTCCGCCCAAGTTAAGAATGTATAAACTGGTTTAAGACTTGGATCTTCTTTCCTGTCATGTTTCCGCCCAGCCAAGCACCTGACCTTCGTCTTGCCCCTTGTCGTTCGGCACCCTGTGTATTGTATCGAAAACACCACTCCATCACCGCATATCTGGCACTTCCTATGGTCAAAAGAACTCGCAATCTCAGATGGTTGGATAACTACATGTGCCTTACCTCCAGAATTTACATGTGGAGCCCTCCCTTGGAGCTTTGCCCTCCCCTTTACCATACGTCCCTGGCTTTCCTCGTTTTCTGCTGGCTCTCCGGTGCAAATAGTACGTAACCCAGTAAGGAAATTTCTGCTGCAAAGAAACTTATGATCTCTCCAACTAGTTGTGTTTTTTATTTATTCCCTTATCACCGCAAGACTATTATGACAACCTTCGCTATGTGATCCACATTTGTTCAAATGCTGGGCTACTGCAATCGCCAGTCCTACTTGGACGACTTGGAAAGCACACCATTGTATCTTCGCTGAGTCCAGACTTTGCTCGTAGTAGTATGTGGTATGTGGGCTACTATAGCTTCTAGGTTATCATGGCCTATGTTTAGTTGAATCATAGATCTTACGAAGTTACTCTTCTTCGACTGCCTAACTGGTACGTTGCTACTTCTGAGTCTAGACCCTGCCCCTTGTTGCGCTCTGTAATTGACCGGTTGTTCGATTTGATTTGATAACTTCAAGAGTTCTGATGCGACATAGTCTGATCCTGGCTCTTCTCATAGTAATTCACTTACCCCGTTTTTTCCTTGCTACTATTTGTGCAAATATTTTACTCCATTTTCCATGAAGCGCAGCATTTTTGGCTGTACTTCCTTGTGTTCTGACTCATGCTGTTTTTTGATACGGACTATGATCAAATGTGGTCATCCCGATCACTGCGTACAACAGCGCTGTCATGTGCTAATCGCGTGGCGTTCCAGTGGTACAATGTCAGCCTATGTATTCTCTTTGGAAGCTTGGTGTAGCGCTGCGATACTGCCAAAACATCATCAAGCTTCAGATGCATATTCATGTCTTTTTCAACAGCATTATCTCGCATTTCAAACGAAAGAAAACATTATGTGACTTTCGGACAAGCAACACCCGGACGCGCCGCTTGCCTGATAAAGACATCCACGCCTACAACACGCGTTGTTGAAGCGATCCCATCAGGCGGCTTCCAGCCTCGAGGCATCCTTTTGAAGGCAAATGCGTTGTCCGTACGCTGGCCTTTCCCATTCCGCTACATAACATGATATTTACATCATCTGTTATCAGTGCGGCGCAATTCCAAGGAATATCTAGAATCCGCCGGTACCCCTGATTGGCAGCGCCTCAACAGGACACGGAGTTTCCGGACACATTCAAGACGTATAATGGAATTAAGCGCACACGAAGTGCACTTGTAGGTCCACAGATCTTCTGTACAGTCTTTGCAATGACTCCTCTTTCGGCCCTGATACAATTCGTGGATCGGTGGAGTGCCGCCGCATCACGAACACGACTTTCAGTCAAATTTTGGGGGATCTTTTACTTCAGTACGATGCGAGAAGGCATGTCTAGAATCTGAAATCGACCCATCGTTCTCTGGATCCAGGCCTATGACGGAGGCGCCCTGTCAACTTATAAGTCGTCCGTCTCAAACTTAACGTTGGAAATATCCCACTCAGGTCTTGTCAATAGTAACTTTCTTGAGCACACTTCTCCCATCCACTCTCTTGCACCCAGACATAAAGCATAATGACGTCGTATCTGCGATTTATCTTTGGTGGACATACTCAGCAAAGTTCGGGTCCTTCTGGTCACAGTCCCGCTCCACTCAAATCTCATAATCGTTCCCGGTCCGCACCTGCCCCGATACCTACTCCAAGTTACATATACGGTCCTCCGAGTAGTGCAACTTCGTCAAGCAATAGCAATCGTCTCAGGACAAAGCGTAGCAATAGCTACTGTGCTCGCACCACCGCTCCCTCACCACTTCGCTATGGTACTTATGATTCCGTACCGATGCAGTCGGGTGATGCAAGGCGTACTACACCCACGAAGGTTGAAAGACCGGCATTGTACAGACGCGCGAGCTACAAATCGGCTGAGCCTGGTATGTCCTCCAATCCACCTGCTTATAGACTGAGAAGTTCTGATGGAAAGCTCTTGAAGGCTTGAGACACCATTCATATGCTCCTTCGGCATCTTTCGGGGGCTCGTCTCGTTCTAACTCGAGCTCCTCTCTGTTGCCCGGCATGATGCCTCCGCCCCCTCCTTTGTCAACCACAAGTTCGCGTAGCGGCGTTAGGTACACGGAAACGAGGCCTTCCCTCAAGCAGACGCACACATGGCAAAGTAGTATTTCCAGTGCAAGTGGATCATCGCAAGCCTGTATGTCTTCTGTTGTTCTTCAATTAGATTCCCTTGATTTAGTTCTACTATCTGTGCTAGATGCTAGTGACCCTCGCCTTGCCTCTCATCCTGGCCCACTTCATATGCATCCTCTATTTGCGACGACTAGGCTACACAGTGCACCAATCTCGTACGATGTTCTCTTTGCACCTTCTTCTAGGACTGCTCTTGATCGCACAACTCACACTGCTGTTCCCGCACACACTCTTGCGCAACCAGCAACTGATCCGCCTACTCTTGCAACTTCTAGGATTGTTCTGCGCTCAGACAAGTTCCCCTGGCCGGTGATAGTAACGCCCTCCAGCTTGAATCCAAGCTCCGGCTCTAGTTTTTACCTTGGCTCTAGTAAGGGTGGCCGTTCTGCGGCGCTCTCGAATATGGATCTGCTTTATTCCGTACATACCACCTTGCTTACTCGTATAACGCCTCAGGAATGGGAAGCTTTAGGTCACGGGAGCCGTGCCCAACGCAAAATCACTCGTGCTTACGAAAAAAGGTGTACCAAAATGGGTGGTGGATGGGAGGGGGGCGTCAGGAGGATCGACTGGTTGCATGGGAAGACCAGGTTGATCGGCATTGAGGCCGAGAAACACGGAAGTGCTGTCGGTTCTGGGAAGCTTGTCTTCGGGAAGGCTTGAGGTCTTCTCATAAGGTTTCTTATTTTCTTGCTGCTATGCCTCTTGGGATACTTCTTGTTTTTCGAATCTCTTTATTCAAAAAACAGAAAAAAAAATCTGGTACGACGGTAGACCGGAGTACTTTATGGGTATTTTTGTGGACTTCTGTATTGTTATTTGGGTTTTTTTTGTTTATGTTATGTACGCATATCTTTCGTAGTGATGCCTGTATGATAAGTATTCGAGTTTGTTGACATCCCCTGTCTCTGTGGAATAATCTATGACGTATATTCGTGATATTAAAGTAAGATGATAATTGTGGAAATTTGGAAGTGTAGTATACATAAGATACAGAGACTTGTGATGAACTAGTACGATGCCATTTACGAGCAACTTACTCCAGGAAAGTCGTATGTCCCTGGGATAGCTACTGGGCAGCCCGCCCTATCTTGATGAGAGTTACAATTTGTTTGATCGTTTGCAGACGAACAACAGCGAAGGCAGAAACGATTGGCTGAAGGTTCGACCCTATATGCCACAGTGTCAGTAACTAGAAACTGAACAGCGTATAAATGGCGTACTGCTCGATAAAGCTCGCACCATACCCCCCAAAGGAGCATTGTGCACCATTTGGGAAGCGGATGTCAAACTGTCCACCATCATCGTCCTGAGCGAACGGGAATTTACTGGAATCGAGGCAACCAGTTATCTGTGACACGGAAAGTAGAGACGAGAGCAGTCAGCCGGTGTAGGGTTTATTTATGGAGAATAACTCACCTGTATCCACGAGCCGTCGTCTGCTTGCGAGACAGCTGCACCGGTAATCAAGGCACTCGGAAAGGTTCTAGTGCAGCCTGAACTAGAGCTTGCGCAGTATGCTACGCCATCACTTTCAGCGTCTGATATCATCTCTGCAGGCACAATCAGTCGAGAGTAGTTAAAAGAAGTGGCTGCAGGGACTTGCCTCCTGGAGTACCTGGTAAAAGAAGAGCAAAGTCGCCTGTGCTGGTAATGTGCACAGTGGTAGATGGAGACGGGTCCCCTGTAGGAGCAGGGGTAGGCCTAGAATCGAAGTTGCCTGGACTAGTGGGCGTTGCATCGTCCTGTCGTCGATGGAGACGTTGAAGTTTTTCTTCATCAAAATTGCTCTCAGAAAATTGCGACGAGATCACCACTCCCAGAGCGGATAGTTGGTAGTTTTTATCGGAGAGATTTGTAAAACCATTGCGGTGAAGGCCACCATTTACGAAACCGGCCACCAGGCCTGCCAGCGGGCGAGATACAGCAAAGTAGTCAATGGTGGCGGCGTGCACAAAAGAGAGGAGACCTAGAGCTGAAATTAAGGAGGCGAACATAGGGAATATAATAATGGCTTTAGTGTAAAGTATGTGGTTCAAGTTGAAGTTAGACCTTAAATAAGCAATTCCAACGCGTTGACATCACGTGCAGGTAAAAGACAGTCACGTGCCACAATTTTGGTTCAATTGGCAAGGAATGCTAACTGGCGGGCCAGGAGGTGATTGTATGATTGATCATGATGATTGAGCTGGTGCTAAAATACAATAAAAACCCTTACAGTATATGGTCCACCGAAAGCAGGTATCGAAAGCGCGAACTAGTACAGAGCAGCAGAACACCAGAATACACCAAGAATATCGAGACAAGCGAGAACTTGAAAAGGCAGAGTAGGGTAGACGAGCTGAGAGTTGGAGTGGAAAGAGCAATAAGAGTACAAGAGGAACCGAGGGTAGTGTTTTTGTCGAGTTGAGACAAACAAGAGTGTCCACATTAGCACAGAGGCGCGATATAAGATTCAGCCAACGCGCAGCGCTGGTAATACGATAGGCAAATAAAATAACGGCAGTTGCGCCAGAGATCAAGCACTTGCGACGAAGTGGATGTCCCAGCGGTCCTGGCCATCACGAGCCCTCGTCAGGCCCGCGAATAGATTTTTGCGGCCGAGAAAATCGACTCGCTTGACACCTTGCATGTACTCAGTCTGGTTTCCAAGAGACCGAGTTCTGAAAGAGTCAACCACGGCTGCCCTTGCAGCGTTGTCCAAGGTGTTAACCTCGTTTTGGCCTGCACCACGAGTGAGGGCATCATAGATTTGAACGAGGACATCATTTGCGGTTATACCACGAGGATTAATCACTCTAATAGGCCACAAGGGTAAATTGGGCATGATGATCAACATTTGAGTTGCGGGAGGATACAAGGCGGGTTCTTGAAGGGTGTTGGATGAACAGCCTGGCCGGAGTTGAATGTAGGCCATGTCACGAGAGACGTTGAATAGCATGCGTGTGCTTGGATCGTAGGATAGCAGTGGGTTCAAGGAAATCACCGATGGCGTTTGATGGGGATTTTGGTGGGAAATATCTAAGTCAATAAGGGCCGCAGTCAGGAAATAAGTCGGCTGATAGAACAGTAGCAGGACGTACGAGCCACAGAAGGTCGTGAAGCCTGTGCTGCACTGGGATTGGGCAGAGGGACCGTTTGCATGTATGGGGCTCTTGGAATTGGAACCCCAGACGATGTTGAGGACGAGGACCCAAATGATCGCTCCGACCACTGAGGGGAATATTCCTCATACTGAGGGTGGGAGGAAACCCGAGCCTTGGGAGATGCAGAGTCATGAGAGGTGATAGAGGATGAGTTGAGGTGATAGTGCATGTCTAGGCGAGTTACTGTGAGTCTATGCGATGGAAGGGCGGGAATACTTTGCTATTGACTCGATGTCCCATGCGGCCCTTCTTATACGGCGCCGACAGACATCGGTTTATCATCGCGCCTATTAGAAGAGTGGGAGCGGGGTGAAAGATCCGGCGCGACCAGGGCGGGAACGCAGTCATCGTTGAAGGAAGCTAGAGAAGCTGATCATCAGCTGCCAGTTCAATTGATGGCGCGAGGCGGCCTTACCAAATATAGACATGAGGGGCGGGCCCTAAGCTCTAAATGGAAACCCCGCCACACGGAAACTTCAATTTGGGACCCAGTCATTCCCACAGGCCACCGCCTGTGAATGGCGAGTTCGTGATGAGCGCTCACCGCAGACGATAACGTCGCGTATTGTGGCTCCTAAAGCGCCTGATGCCGTGACAGCTGCGCCTCATAGCCAGACCTCGACCCACTTTCTATGGAAAGAGGCAGATCAGATGGAATTGTTTATCAGATGAGCATGACGATAACGCGACAATTACAGGAACATATATGAAAAATTCATTATATAGAACATAAGTTATCAAAGCCATTGTCCATGTATGAATTCAAAGCGTACTTCGTGAATTCAATACTTCTTGAACTGCCTCCCAATCCAGGTCGTGGTGAGGATGCGCAGACTTGACAGAACGACTTCGCCGCCCTGGTTTTTTATTGCCTCCGATGCCACCTTCATATGTATCTCCTGAAGTTTGCTGTGCAAGGTGCTTGACTTCAGAGAACTCGCTAGTGGCCTGTGCACGGAGAAAGGCAGCGCTTTTTGCCCGGTGGGTTAAGCAGTCAGGACTACGATAATCTTCTGAAGCGTCATCACTCCAGTGGCTGGTGTCCACCTTGGCCATAGGTCTTCCGTCAGCCCATAAAGAGCCTCCATTAGTTTTTTCTAGCGTGCGCACGATGTTGAGACTTTCTCCCGGAGGGATTGGTGTCGGATGTGACGGTGTAACACAGGGCATGTCCACTTCTTTACGCAGTACTGTGTCAACATCCACGGCAGAAAAGAACGCAACTCCCTGAGGCAAATCGTCCATCCCGAGCTTGTAGGCGAACAAGCTACGGGTCCACAGATTGGCTATTTGTAACGCCAGTGCAGCGCGGTATCGGTCGTCGTCCGCAACCAAATACCTTAGCTCGTCATGAACTGATATTAAGTATCTTGCCTTGATATCGTATGTTTTGATTAAATAGTCCATTGAGACTATGAGCAGATGCAGGTAATCGACCCCCGAAGACTGTACAACCCAGTTGATACGAGAAGTCATGTAGTCTGAACCGAATTCAGCTGGTAGGTATTCTTTTGATAGAGCATATGTTATCCCGCACCCAAGGGCAGGCGTTCGGGGACAGTCAGACAACGCAATCTCTTCCAGCTTGTTAAACAAGAAACTCTCTGTCCCGCCAAACCAGAACTTCCGACCAAAAATGTCTGATCGGTGAGTATTCTTGCCCTTCGTCGAAGCATAGAGGTTCTCAGCCAATTTTTGAGCCTGATCTGGTAACATGCTCGCATTAGACTGGAGTAGAAGAAGTACCGCATGTCTCATGCCCGCGCCATAGATTCGAGAATAGTTGAACACTTTGGCTTGGTCACGTGAGATGCCTAGTATACTGGCGGTTTTCGAGTGTAAATCGGTACCAGCAGCTTTTGTCCCTTCGAGGGTCATCCAACCGATTGCTGTGGAGCCATGCAAACCAAACTGTGCATCACCCATACAGCTCGAGATCCACAGCTCTTCCGAGTCTACATCGGCACCGACTATAGCATATCCTTCGGGGGCCCGGACCATAGCCTTCAGTTCAGAGCCCACGCGATTCTTCTTCGCATTGCTAGCTGTCAGCCACGTTTTCTCAATTGCACGGCGAGTCACCGTGCCCATGGTAATAACTTGAGGTAATATTATTCCCCATTTTTGGGCAGCAGCGACAGACTTGTCTCCTTGCTCGGAAGTACCAAAACCCATAGTCGACTGTTCGTCTTGCCAAACAACCATCTGTTTAATGATCCTGTCTCGTGCGCTGATCCAATAGCTACATTGAGCGTTCATATCAAGCGCTTCGTTAGCTTCACCCCCCGGGCTAGTCATTGTTCCATCTTGTGCATATTTCATGAATGACTTCCCAAGAGGACTTCCAACATTTGCCTTCTCCCCGTCCTTATGAGGAAGTTTATAGAAAACAAAGCCTCCGCGCAAGCTTGAATCTTGTAGTACACCATCTGCAGGATCGTAGAACTGAAGTGGAGTAAGTCGAATAGAGAAATTGACATTGTTAGGCACGCGGAACATCCAACCATGTTCTCGAGAATGGAATAGGGGCCATCCCAGCCATGAAAGGCGCAAGAGGATAGGTGCAATACGATTCCGCACAGTTATGTCGAGAGATCCAGGTGGCATGTCTTTCTTTGGCTTCGCCAGATCCCAGTACCACTTGGGCCACAGTACTGGCGGAGGTTTAGAGCCTTTCGCGGAAGGAGATTTTGATCCTCCTGGGGTCGACTGGCTATTTTCACATTCGACACGCGTCCAGTCCAGTTGTCTCAACCAAGGGCTACCTTTTATATGAGCTGGTGTCGACTGCTCGATTACATATTTTGCAAAGTCTAATATCTGCGCTGCAATGACATCGGTTCTATCCCCACTAGATATGGATACGGCGAGAGACAAATCATTTGATGTCATACGGCCAGATTTTAAGTGTGGTAAACCATGAGAAGCCCCAAGAATGGACACAGTTTTGCTCTTTCCGGCACTTGGCAACCGCACCACCATGTCATCTTTCAGGTAGTGCCACAGTTCTTCTTTCGAGTATTGTAGAGGATATCCGTCGAATGACAATTGGAGAAGCAGGGGCAAAATACGGTTGATGCTACGGCTATGGAGTGGTCCCTGCGAGAGAAGGATTTTCAGCCAGATTGGCTGTGTGCTTGCAACACACAACGGGGAAGATGTGGACGGTAGCTCCTTGAAATGTCGTACTAACTTCAGCATTCATTATCAACCCAGCATGATTAAATTACCTGCACGGAAGGTAGCACTCCTCTGGACTTCCCAGCGACTTTCGGTGTCCAGTCAAGTTGAGCGAGCCACGAACTGTCTTTCCATGTGCCATCTTCCATCATTCCTTTCGCTTCTTCGGCAAGATCTACGAGGCGTGTCTTAACCTTTTCGTCCAACTCCCGGTACGTTCTCTCTGCATTTTCCAGATATGCTTCCCATGATTCGTTTACAGTCAAAAAACTGGAACCCATCGTAAGGATACCCGCAAATGATACAGGGCTTGGACAACGAGCAAGGAACGCAGGGAGCACTTGTGAGAATACTGCATGTGTGACGAAGACATCCTGTGAGCAGTAATTGAGATAATCATGGATATTGGCTAGTATTTCGGAGGGAGTATGCGACATGAAATCGTTGCGAATTCCCTTGTCAACGGTGATATCACAATGAAGCTTAGCAACATCAGCCAGAGAATTAGCAGACGTCAGGTCTTCCCAGCGCTTGTTAGACAATTCAGCTTCAGCAACATCAATATCTTCAGCTTGGAGTTGGGGCAAGCTCTCTTCCATTTCTAGACGCAGGCGTCGAAGTTCTTCCTTCTTGATAGAGTCGACTTCCTGATCGTACTTCATCTCGGTATCCCGCATGAGCTCAACCACAGCTTCCACAGCTTCAGCCCGCCTTTCTTGCAGCTTTTCTTTTGACTTCCGGTGTTTCATCCAAGCTGGTCTTTGATGAGAAGATATACCTTTGACCGCGACATGCAAGGACATAGTGTCTAGAAATCGCGTCTGTGTGCCACGTAAATCATATTCTTCCAGAATCCTCCCTCGATCATAAGATACGTTGTGACCAACAACGATTCGAGGACAATCAGGGTAACCAAATGGGATGAGATGGCGGGGTTCAGTTGATTCGCCCAAGAGCCAAGGTGATATCCAAGAGTACCATGCATTGCCGGACGCTGCACAAGCCATGACAGCGTATGGGTGGTAAGGAGGCATAGTCTCTACGTCGAAAACCAGCATCTGCTCCGCTTGTCCATCATGCTCTGGGTACTCAACGTGTTCGCTGTAACTGGAACCGTCAGGTAGAAAATGATATTTTGTCCAACCTGACTGGATGTCCCATTGATCAGGCTTTGGGGGCAAAAGGCCTTGGGAAAAGCCTTTGGCTAGCGATAACCACGGCTGTGCTGAGTTAGAACCAATACGGTGGAAATGTTCGTCGATATTACGACCTTGCATAGGAGGTAGAGTAAAACCTGTATCTGGGAGAATTGACCCCTGGCTTGGGTCCAAACCATGCGTTTCAAGGTGTTCTAACGCGATACGGACGTACGATGATTTCGGGTTAGGAAAAGATACGTTACGGAAAACCTGGGAGTGCAATTCTCGAGAAAGGAGTTGTACCCCGAGCTCATTCCGTTTGACTAGTATGCAATCAGAAAACATCGCGTGCCGAAGGTATGAGATCTTACCATACTTCACTGGCTCTTTTTTTGTGTTATCTTTCTCTCTATCTTTAGTCATTTCCGCAACAGTATTCCTGTGTCGTATTTTGCCATGAGTGGGTGCTTGTTTCTGTACCAGTGCAGCTGAAGATGATGATTCGCGAATCCAGCGATGCAATAAAATCTCCCTTGCATATACTTTTCTCCCTAGGTTGAGCATTCGGAAATCGAGGGCATCTGTTAAAGAGTCTCGAAAGCCAATTTTTGCTTTCCCTTGGGCGCGTATTGCAACTCGGACGTTGGCGAGTCTCTCACACTGCGGGTTAGGGTTACGCAGATCGCCGATACACTGGATTCGGACTGCACACACAAAAATCATCAATCTCGACTTACACTACAGAACGTTCCAAGCAAATAGCATCAGGTCGGCAGTTTTTTTTTCATTGCTTTTGTCTTGGGCTCATTTCGACAACTTTGTCACTTTTTTGAAATCAGGCGTCTAACCTCCATCACGAGTCCGTGCAGGTTTTGAAATCGCTGTCATCTTCGCCGGCCAGGTCGCGTTGAAGCACACGTTCTCGCCTAGCGGATTTTGTATAAAATACCATTTAATGCCCCCACTTCTCAAGCTGTTACACTTTTGTCCCCCGTAAGAACTGTGGTTCTGATCACTACTTCAAACAAGGTACTGCCCGTCACAAACTCGATTTACGCCGTTCTGGTAGAGCACTGCACTAACTTCTTCAATTTCTGTCACATCAGGAATTGCATCTTATCAAGTATCAAAGCGTCTACGCTGTCGCCCTATATCTGCTCCCCCCTATACGTCAAAATCTCGTGTGAAACGCTCTACACTTTGTTCACCTCAGTTTGTAGGTGAGTGTTCGATTACTGGTACCTTCGCATTGAAGGTCTTGGTTCGGGGTATGTTGCTGTTGGAGGGTTTCCACCATAGGGGAAACACTGTCCACCATAGGACTCTTGGGGATTATATAGATTGATCCTTGGGTCTTCTGGTGCGCTGCTTCCCGTCTGGTGGATACCACCTAACGGCGAGTAGTTCGGTCCTTGGACAGGCTCTATGACACTTGGGTGGCTTTGGAATGCCATACCCCCATAACCCGCCATCGAAAGGCCTGTTCCTTGTATCAGCGCCACTGCGCAAACGTACACTGACATGCTAATATCTCTTACTGTAGGTACTATATTGACCAGGGGTGGCCCATCCGTCGATACTCATTCCGCTAGCCGTATTCGCACCCCCTGACATACCGAATTCTCAGGATAAGTTCAATCAAGTTCACGTTACGCTACGTACCGGCACCGTAATTTCTGGGGTGCATGACATTAGTTTTTTGTTATGATATATGAACAAACTACGAACCCATAATTTTGTTCAGGGGTGGCGAATCCGCGTTTCATATTTGCAAGCTCATTCTCCATAGCCGTGATCTTGTTTTCCAGCATTTCTATGTAATCCCGAGCTGATTGACAACATCAGCTCATCGCGTTGATCAAGACAACATCGAATGAAATGTTACACACCCCCAATTAAAACATCATATCTTCTTGTCGGATGACCAGGGAGTTTTTCCGCGAGCAGGTCTAAGGACGTGGATTCCTTATCCCTATACGACTGTTGACTCTCCCGCTTCGCTTCTTTGGCCTTGTCCCTAGCAATATCACGTTTATCAGGTTCAGAAGTAGCACGGTGGTTGTTGTTAGGCATGTTGGAGACACAGAGAAAGCCCAGTTGCGTAGTGGATCCGTATAAATACCTATGGGTGAGTGTTTGATAATTCTCAAACCAGTCCCATCTAATCGTGTCAAAAGAAGCAGTGGGAACGTTCCTGTGATGCGTGGACTATGAGGATAGGGCCAATGAATTGGGACGTTCTACATTGTCTACTTCGTGGATCAAAACGTTCCTTCGACTGTTTTCCTGGGACTCTCTGACTCACATTCCCGTTCACGGGCTCCAAAGGGACTGAATCACACCTTCACATCCTCAAAAAAAAAAAAAAAGGTTCTACGCGCGGTGATTAACTTGCTCTGGCTGCGGTGAGCTCTCATCGGCCGTCCCACAGGCTGCGTTTCTGATTGAGGAGACTACGTTGACCTTCTGGATCTGTCATCGCCGACGCCACAAGACCTTGGTCGACCATCTATTTTTTCATTATGTCCCACCATTGGTGATTATGGAGGTGGATGGCAGGTAGTCACGGTCTATAGCGATGTATAATTGACATTGTTTTCTTCTTCGTGTTCAGAATAGCAGACAGACCTTGCATTTACCAAGTACCGATGGCAATAGCCCGTGAATTCTCCGGAAAAAGAATTTGGAACAAACATGGGAGTACAGCTACGTGTCCCAATCGAAATCTTATCACCCAGACGGGCTGTTATTTGGGAACGTTCTCCAAATAATGCAAGAGATCTATGGTTTCTTCTCTTGCCTGTGTTACGTCCATTCCGCAGACAGGTCTGATTGTACAGCTTCGTGCCGTGCGGCTGACTGGGTGGTAGAGCGCACACCCCTATTGGTCCATTTTACTAGGTGCGATGATCGTCCTCTCCCGATTCGACTATGCCATGCTTACTCCTCGTGTTATACACTGCCCTTCGTATTATCAGGATTTGGCTCATTGCGCCGTTTCCTTTCGGGAAATAATTGCGAAAAATTTGTGAACCCAAGGACATACAATTACGATGTAGGCTGGAAGAAACGTCTAGAACGATTTGAGTTGCACAGTTGGGACTCCTACTGGTAACTCGAACTGATATTGCAGTTCAGTCCAGTTACAAGGAACGAAATGTTCAGCCAGGAGCTGCGGTTAGCTCCTTTCAGATAGAAATGTCCGAACCCTCTTCATTGATTCCAGGCAACACATATATGTTTCTATCAATGAGAAAGAATATGCATACATGCTCTACACTCGGCTCCTTTCATGACCATTTAAATCCTCTTTCCAACTTCAATGTGCAGTTGTCCTGCTCGATACCTACAGATTGGTGCCACTGTATAGAGTAAGCTATGCGAAGCAATGGACATCAGACATATGATCGCGATAAGCTCCAGTTTCGTTCTTGATCAGCGAAAAATTGGCTAACTGAGCCACAACTTGACGCCACTTCGCATGATATTTCGAGGCAACGATAGTGTTTAAACGAGGCAAGATATCGGAAAAGATCATAGCGACTGCAATGGGATCACTGATTTGAGAGTCGCCAAGGTGTAAACTTGTGATCGCTTGATTGTACGTGCCTCCTCCAGGTCGTTCAGCTGTGGGAGCTGGTAATATCCTGGTATCGAGAACTATGCCCAATGATATGAGCTTCGGGCAAAGTGCTAGTAGCTCGATGAGGCCCGCTATGCTAACTCTGGAGTGATTGTCAGGATCTGAGCCATAACCCCAGTTCAAATGCAAGCTTTGCAGGTTGGGCCATGCCAATGCTATGTCTCGCAATGCTCCATCGTCCAATGATAGCGAAACGAAGAAGCCGATATTAACATCTGTCATTGAGGAAAAGCGTAAGATAGGCCTTATAGTTTCAAGAACAAGAGATTGGTCCTCTTCTCCGCTGGGGCGAAAGAGGACCGTAATCTTTTGCAGTGAGTGATTCTCCCCGCACTTGTCACCTAGGATGGCAAGCGATGCCTGTATAGAATCGAAACCGACAGGAGTACAGAACTCCAAATGAATTTGCTTTGGCACCGAACGGAATATACGGAGTATGATGGGGCAGGCATCGCCAGAGGATCTAGCGGTGAAGCACAGTTTAAGGTTTTGAAGATGGGGAAACATCGATTTGTCGTCTGGGTAATCAAAATTTTTATACATGTCGAACCGCCAGTTACTGGCATCGAGATTGAGAGACCGTAGGGAGTCCAGGGCTGCAAGATGATACATGCCCTGTTTATTTAACAGGGCGTCACACGTCAATTCTTCTAGCTGATTCCACTGGCAAACCGCCTGTGAAAGTACGTCCGACGCATCGAAAGTAGTGATTGCGCCATCCACATTCAACACTGCGGTTTTAATGGAGGGACCTGCAATAAGACGACGGAAAAAGGGAATGTCTTCATTTGTATGCAATCGACAGTCTGTGAGTTGTTGAAGATTGGGAAACAAGGGTGGACTGATTGGGAGAAAAGTGAATGCGCGATAGACATCTTGATGCGCTGTTGACGTAATTGAATCAAAATCGAGTCCACGTTGTAATTTCCGGACACGATGAGTGTACTGCCGGATGATTGTCAAGTCTTTTGAACACAAGGGTCTTCGTAAGCACTGTAAAAATGAGACAAGAAAAAATTGAATGCGGTATTCTTAAGCTCGTGGGATTAAAAACCTACGAGACTATCACCAGTCCCAGACCATATGTCCTCAGGAAGACACCTGAGTATTGGTTCAACGTCGTGCAAGTCAGCCCAAAGGACATCCAATGCTGGATCACTGAACAATCGACACGTCCTAGCAAGTACAGCCAGAGATCTCTGCCAGTCGTCTTCCAGTGCTTCCGCGCTATCTGGGTCCTCGGGGAGAATATGCTTAAAGATAATTGATAGGATGTCGGGAACAAGTAAGCACTTGTGCATTTTAATATGTAGCTTGAACTGCCCAAAGTACTTCAATACGAGGAGTGTAATGAAAAGTCGGTTTACAGCTCGTTATTTGAAAGCAAGTCGAAAGCAAGGTCAAAGGAGTGAGCCGAAGCGGAGTTTAAAGCCAGTCATCTACGCCAGTCACCGCAATGGTACTTAGTCGAAAGATATGCAAGTTCTGCATATTTTGTATATGGAATCCACTACATATTTAACCCACTACCCACGAACGACAAGCTTCGACAGAGTCGGATGGTCGCTACTTAGTGCTTGGTTCGAACAGGATGCTGTGTCGTAACCAGATTCGCAGTGCATCACGCCACCCACCATATCACACAAACTTCGTTACTATTCGTTATCATCAAGAATATGTCCTACAAACATCAAGTGTTATATGATGTATGGTGTTGCCATTCACCGAGTGCTGACTCGCATCCATCAAAATCTCGTGTGAGACGCTCTGAATGGGTGGGTGAGAATGTTTGGATGGGCGGGCGAGAATGTTTGGGTGGTGGGTGAGTAATAATGTAATTCAGGCTGTGCAGCAAAGCTGCTTTGGCTATGTTGTTGTTGGAGGGAATCAGGTGGGAGAGTAACTCCATACACCATATCGCTCTTAGAGTTGTATGGATCTATTTCTATGTGGTGAGGTGCGCTGTTTCCCGTCTGACCGATCTGGCTGAACTGACCAAGGACAGTTTCAGGCATTATAGGTTGAAATTCATCGGACCAAAAGTCATCCACCGTCGACGGCGATGACAAGTCTGTTCTTCAGATAAGCATGATAGTGAAATATACGCTGACAGAATCGTACCTATCTGGTCGTACCCGACGTCCCATGGACTCGCGATACTAGTCGAAGAAACGGTGTCTTCCGTACTCTCTAATCAGTGAAGTTTCAGCAACGATTCCATCCCAGTTCGCATCGTACACCACTCACCGCTCTCGTAAGTTCTGCAAATAATCGTATTAGTACTTTTCTTACGAATTGTAAGCGGACTTCTGTGACAAACCTCTGTAGCTCGTAGCCTCCCATGTGAGCTTGACTTTCGATGCTGCCCCCTGCAAGAACCCTCAACATCAAATTCTCGTCCTTCAACGCCTCATTTTCGCTCCTCAATGCTTCGTTCTCACACTGGAGCCTTTCTGTTTTGAGACAAGCTATTTCACAACGTCAGCTAGTGGCTCAGGCTACTTTAAATAAGGCAACGCCAGAGCAAAGGTACGCACCCTGTTCGAGAATATCATGTTTTTTGTCGCGATCAGTCACCAGCGTGCCTCTCAGACGCTCCAAGAATCGTTTTTCTTTATCCCTGTATGCTTTCTGTTTAATGCTTTTGAGAGCTAGCTTGTCGGGTTTAACTGCACGAGTCATTGTAGAGACTGCGAGATGTTACGGTTTCGTATGGGTCCGTATGGATACTTATAGGTGTGTGTTAAATAAATATTACCATAGCCCATCTAATCGTGTGTACCATAAAGGCTACGGGAACGTTCTAGTGGTACGTGGATCAAGAAGATAAGGTAAACAAAACGGGATCAAGTTCTATCCAGTCAACTTCCATCAAAACGTTCCCTTATACAGCATTCATATTGCTGTGCTGCAGTTCCCGCCCGACTCAGTGTCGCATTTCTGTGCTCTAGAAAGTCTATGCTATGCCGTTGTTTGCCTGACAGAGGGACGATTCTCCCATTCTGCGGAAGACGGAGGGCTGATTTAGGTATATATTCCTGCAACGTTGTCATCCTGCAGGCTGTGCGTCTTGTTTTGGACGTTTTGAGTGGGTTTGACTCACTGTCACCACCGCAGCCGCAGTAGCATTTTCATATGAACATCTGGTCGTTCCCACCACTGGCATTGTGAGCGGCAGACAATCGTATTTTATATTCTTGCCTTGCATCCAATCTGCAGCTCTCGACGAAAGGTCATAGACCATGGTAGAGAATCTACTTTCAAGTCCAGGATTTCGTTCCAGTAGTGCCCCTATGAACGAATGGGAACTGGTCTATATTCCGTAATTAGACCGAGGAACCGAATCAGGAGTTTAAGTACGTTCCCCAACGCAATCTTATCATTGACAAAGAAGGATGCTGGGAACGTTGTCAGCTGTGTCATCCCCAGCGTGTCTCCCGCAGCCTTGGGCTTCTGTGCCCCGGGTTTGCACGACAATTGGAAGTATAGCTTCGAGCCTTGAGGCATGCCGACGACTCGCTCACTATATTAATAGCACACCCTACGACCCGAAAATCGACAGTGGTACTGTATATCACAGCGTACACCTCATCGCGTCTGTGTTCAGACTGATTGTAGACTAGATGTTGGAATGAAAGAACATACAATGATTTCAGTTGAAAACCTGCAAGTTTGCTCTATGCACCGTTCAACGTTCAACACTGGACATTGGTACGGAAATGATACAAGTTCTATTGCTGTCGTAAAAATATAGACGTTGAAGGAGAGGAAGTAATATGATGCTGTATGTATAAAGTACGAAAATGAGTGTGGGTTACAGGTAAATAAATGTGCATTAGAGTGTAAGGCCTGACGCCTGAATGGATAACACGTGAGGTTCGTATAAAAAGCCAAATATGCGTGGCTGTCGTCGAGGAGTATAGCATGCATTATGGAATGGGCTTAATAGGTCAATCGCCGCTTTGATCTTCTGCCAGAGCCGTTATTACCCTTACCGCTGCTTTTAGCAGATGACCCATTGTTGGAGGGTATGATACTGCCCAATAAGCGCTTGAGGAAAGGCTGCTGCTTTGACTTCAAGGTTGACTGTGGCGATTGCTGCTGAGGATAAAATCAGTGGGTAAGTAAAGCAAAAGTGAGAAGATGCAGCTCACTGCAAACTCCACTCTCCCACCTGGAGGCGGCACTACGAAGTATGTCTGCCCAGGGCGGGGAGGAGGGAGGTAAATGGGACCCCCTGAACTAGCATCGTAAGTCCTATAAACGACTGGCACAGAGTCTGAACGACGTCCTCCACGGGGCTTGGGGAGTGGAGGAACGGTATACAACACCTCCTTTTGGTTTGACGAAGAACGTGAGTGTGATCGAGAACGATGTCTGGGTTTCTGATCATCCTGCGAGTATGAACGGGATCGAGAAGGGCGAGAGAAAGGCTGGTCAGATGGATCTCGATGAGGGAGAGTTGTTGAGCGTATGGGAGTAGGACGATATGTGGATACGTCTGATGCCTGATCGTGAAGGGGTCGAGATGACAGAAATGGTGATGGGACAAAGGGGTTGGAGTACTTGTGGGCGTGCTGGGTGGTATTGGATACCCAGTTCGATACACGATTGTGGGTAGCCATATACCGCTCATAGGCAGCGGGAGAATAGTCGTACTCGGTCATGGGGGATGGGGAGGAGACGGTGAAGGGTGGGGTGCGAGTGGATCCGTGGTATATATAAATGTGGGGGTAGGTGGGGTATGAAATGTCAAATGGAAGGAACACGAAGACTCGTGAGTCGAAACGTCACAGGAAAGCCGCTGAGGCAGGTCGAAGAAGGGACACGAAACCGTGAATGAAGTGGATCTAAGGCGACTGCAATGTGACGGAACACGACCCAAACGCTCTAAACGTCCTTTTACAGCCCATGAGGCAAAAAATTACAGGACGGACCGAGTGAACCGGCGCTTATACTGCCTCACGTGACTGCTATAACTCTACAGCACTCTTATGTAGCAGAGACGCCTCTCTTCATCGATAGCGGTATATTATTTCAGTGCCACCCTCAAAAGCACTCCATATCTTGCATCTCCGCCCGGCTGGCTCATGTCACTGGACTATTAAAATCTCGTACCGAAAGGTGGTACAATTATGACCGTCCAATTCCTTCATGTGGGCGCAGGTGACCAACCTGTCTTCTTTGCTGTGAGATACTGATTCTACCCAACTTTGCCAGCTCTGCCAACTTGCGTGATCTCCAGCATACCACTTTTCTTTCTACGGTGACTTTTCTTGTCTTTTGATTCCGTGATCTACCTCGTTAGACTCTCGGAGAGGCTTTTCAACATATGAAATTAACGCGTATGTAAAGCAGTTTCATCTCTATTACTCAGAGAAGCTAATATCTGTTTCGGAGCAGCTACCGACTCTAAAATTGTCGCGTTCCGCACAACACGTATTTCCGCACGAGGCGCCTAACTCCCATCGATTTTACCACGGACGATAGTTGGTCGATGGTTATCGTGTACGTCCAGCACTGGCACGCAGCGCCAAATGCGTAATTACAAGTGATGTACTCAAACCAAGCTCCACGATATTGTCATCGACGCGGCGTCGCACTGTAAAAAATAAACTTTCTATCGCACATCCACTTGACTGGCAATCACTGTCTATTGGACCAACTGGGCTACCCCAGACGTCAAGTTCGAAAGTACTTCTGGCACCGCAACAAAGCGCTGTCTCTCTGGCACAATACCTTGGTTTCTCCTAGACATTTTCTCGGACAGTCGGAATTCACGGCTCAACTCCAACCATACACTTATCAATGTCGAGTCACGGTACTCCTCCTGGACTGCCGCTACCATTCGAGGGCGTACCTGACCACGAATTTGGCCTTTCTCAGGGGTTGTCCTGTAATGAGTTCCGCGACAATCTTTGAAGGTTTTACTATCAAAATAGGTGTATCAAGGGCCGTTCGAGAATGTAATTATACAATAGAAGACTTCTCTCTACAGTGAAACGATCGGTCTCTCGTCAGATTCATACCATCCGGGCACCGTAACGCAAAATAGTGTCCTCTTCTCACTCAACTTGTTCAAATATTCATATCTCCAGGCCCCAAGCTCAGCGTCGCTATAGAGACTCATAGCTACACGCTCGGAGCCGTATCTAAAAGGTATGCCTTGTTCACCTACTCTAAACATTGCAACAGTCATGTCATAATCAGCCGCGTTTGTAGATCCGTACGACGCCACATACAAAGGTGTTAACGACGAGTGTCATTTCTAGCCGTTAGTGATAAATATCCCTGATCGATCCTGCTTGAACACGTTAGCCGCTTCTATCCCTATTTCACCTTATCGTTGGGCGGCGATTTTTATGACTGTGGTCCTTAGATCTTCCTCGATTTAATACTTCCCCTGGGCTCATCCAGCGAGCCTCACTTATACGTTGTAGCATGTGATTCGAAGACCAGCCAAAGGTTCCGTACGATATTGCCTATCTTAGTATGGGCCACCCCCGAATCCATGCGCTTCTTTTGCCTAGCCTCCTTGGAGCCTCCAAAATCATGCAAGATAGCTCTAAAAAAGCACATGGATGCATGTCGCGAAGGGATGGTGTGATATGTAGTCATTCCCCTCCAGTTATGACACGGATGGACATAAATGATAGTGGTAAATTCGCATTGAGATTGCTGGATATATCTAAGCTCTAAGCTTTATTGCAGCAGGAGTAACGACCTTTTTCTCTCTACGATCAAAGCGGACAAGAGGATATGGTCGAGGTGTTGATGCCCGTCGGGGAAAACAGTGAGCTGAGCTGGTGGAAGAGGGGGAGAGGCGTCAATCGGAGGAGGAACGAACGATGCTAATTGTAGATCGGAATTGGAGATTCCGTCGTAGCACTATATCATAAGGGAAAGTATATTAATAGGAAAGGCCGCGCCAACAAAATTACACTTACTACACACATCGGCGAACCATCATCCAATGTCGAACGGCAATCCCAGCGAAGGTCAACGGACCCGCAAGACCAACCCCAGACCCGCTATATCAAACAAGTGCCATATTGTCTCAGAGAATCGCAGAAGATGTGAAGAAGGATGCGGACTAACATCTACGCCGCCAATATTCCACATAACATTCTTCAAACGAGTGGTGCTATCGCCCATAGTCAAAATAGCTACTCTTTGGTTGGTCGACAGCCTAAATAACAATATCAGTTACATGATGTTACGGGAAAGAGATCTTGAATGTCATTCGCACTCGAAACTACCGACAAACTGCCCCTGCATGTTACCACCTCTTTGAACTGTGGTGACGTACGATAGTGGAGCGAAAGGGCTAAGATTGAGAGCGACAGAGATGCGATAGAGGGGGTTTAGATTATTCGCGGTCGGTGGTGGCATAAGCAACATAGAGTCAGATGTCCAACCAGTAAATGTGTATGTCATGGGCTGGAACGGCCGTCTATGATAGTAACTGATCATAAAAATTCCAATAAGTAACTGAGATATGCATATTAATCGTATCAAGGGGCATCAGCAAACGCACCTTGGGGGTTCAATAGCACCTGGTTTGGATATCTCAGTGACATAACTTGACCGAGAACATAATGAGGTGAAGTCAACGGCGTTTTATTCGATTATAACATACTCTGGAAGAACTTCTGACGACGATCCGAGTCCTGTCTTCGAATCCTCTGCTTTATGTCAAGTTTTATATCACGGAATAATGAGTACAACTCTTTAGTTCATGCATGGCGCCGAAAACTTACCTAGTGTTTCAATGATCATACTTGATAAGATCGCTATAGTGAAAGATGACGAATCGCACGCACGGTTTTTGAGCCCTGGTCAGGAAATATAAAGGTCCAGAGGTCCTAGGGCAGTTCAGTAAGAAGCAATCGCATTACCCAGCGTCTTCTGCAGCTGGCAGGACATCCGCAGCGTCTGCGTGATGATGGCTGGGTGAACGCTCTCTAAAAAAGCTGTACATGATGCCATTTGTAGGAGCTGCGTACCGTAACTAACCACTTAATGCGAATATCATATCATGCGTCTGAAAAAGGAAACCTCGAGAACTTCTGATCGCAATGCTATGCAGTCTTTGAGAACACGATGATAAAACAGTTTTTTCCATACTTTTTTTTTACCTGCTCGTAGCTCTCAGATGGGCGCTCTGGTGAATGTCAGAGAAGCAGGATTGGCTGGCGTTCGAGTATAGATTGTTTGAATCACGTCTACCAGACTCTGCTTTGACTGGCTTTGCATTCAAGTTTACTACTCAGGTCGGCAGTACGATAATTTGAATGCGGGGATCCGTACGCCGGATTGTATTTCATGATCGCTTGATGTGGGGAAAGGAGGGTCAACTATGAGCAGTCCTTAACATGCTGTGTCAAGTCATGATGATATATCCGTATATATTTACTGATACGCTCTCTGATGTCCGTGAGCTGCGACTTACGAAGAAGAGTCCACGGTAGACTGCGGAAGACACGCTATCTATGGGGTGCTATTTTGCATTGAATAACTGCAATTCTTAACTGTATGTGTTTAACATCCTACTAGCCACTGACACTGTGACAGATTGTCCGGGAATGCTCCGCGTGTTCCAAGGATCGTAGTAAAATAGAGCTGAAGCTTTCCGGGGATAAAGTGGTCCAGTGGTTACAAGGATCGCGGGCTCGACGAAAATAATCATTTGAAAGTCCATTTGAATACATTGATTTTGCAACTACACACATGCATCTGAAATGACCAAAATACACAAAAACATACATAATTCATAATAACTGAGATAGCGTTAGCCCTTGATAACAACAATGGGACTGGATTCAACATACCTCTCATTCATTACATTCATTGCCTCCTCGTCTTTACTTCCCACATACCATCTTTACCTCGTACCAGTCCTTCGAATCCAATCTTTCCACGCAGGAAATCGACCCTCCTCACTCCGCAGCTTCTCTCGCTTGCGTCGTGACAGCGTTCTTCCCAAGCTTCCCTCAACTTATACCGATCAGCGTCATCCAATTCCTCGTTATAATAGTCGTCTTTCTGGATAGGTGTATTCAACGAGGTGTAGAGTCCAGTGAAAACATCACCAATGGTCGCTCCTATTGGATTACTGGCACGTATATCGATGTACCATGGAAGACGAGAGCTGTATAACCTCATGACAACCGCTGGTGGTTCACATGCATACTGCTGCAAATCCCAAGGAGTGAGTGGGCGTTGGACGTCACGAAAAGCGACTGTTGACGGGTGTCGACGAAGATCGTAACTGATATAGCCACCATCGTATCGCAGATGGTGGTGCAATGTAGATCTTGAGCTGTCTACAAAATCTGAAATTTGGGTAACGAATCAGAATAAAATATAAGACAGTGCAGCGAGAGAAGCCTAACCGTTTAGATGCTTTGAGGTGGTACGCTTTATACGAAAAAAGGACGTAAAACCGGAACGAAATCTAAAGTCACGCCTCCAGTCGCGAGGCGGCTCTCCAGAAAACCTAGGTGCAGCATACCCGCTTACTGAATTTGAACGAGAGATTGTAGAGGATGGGCTATAGTCACTATTATTGGCCGGATATGCCGTAGGACGCATGTTATGTCTGCTGGAGACGGAGGCGGCGTGTGGCGAAGGACGATCCCATGGCGAAGATGGATGAGGCGAGTGCGAGTATCGACTATTGGTAAGTCCATAGCCAGCTGGAGGCCCTGAGTGACTGTGAGTGCGGCGGAGCGGTGCCACAGTCCCAGGATCATCATATGTAGATTGAGGGGGGACATAAGGACTGGGAATCGATGGTTGCGTGTAGTCATATTGTGGCCATGGACTGTCATTGTAAGATTGAGCATAATGAGAAGAACCCTGGCGATTGTGGCCTGGAAAAGCGTTACTCGGAAAAGCGCCAGGGATATTGAAGCTTGGGTCCTGGTAAGCAGATCGACTCGAACTCAAAGGACGGATGTTATCCGCTGCATCGGTATATGACTGACTGTCGGGAAAGTATGTGGCACCATTCGGAGGGGGAACGTTGCGAGGTAAAGGAGGAATATGACCTGCATCCACTAAGAGTGGCATGCCCTCGTACATCCCTGCCATATCGAGTTTTTAGATAACAGACGGGTAAGTCGCAGCGTACTGATCTGAGTTGGGCTTGGGCTTGCGATGACTGAGCGCAGGAAGAGAATGTAGCGATATAGATGTGGGATACAATCGAATATCTGAGTGCCAGATAATTCGAGGGTTAATAGGGGAGCGAAGAGCGAAGAGCGAAACGAGCTGGCACCTTTGTTTTCCAAGTCCCACGTTCTGTACACAAAGTTTTGTAGCACGGCCTGCCCGGTTACTGATATCTCGATGGTGGCGATGTTGGGAAACCTTTACAAGGACAGCCGCATCTGATAGCTTTTCAGCTGTAAAGAGAACTGTAGAGTTCACCTACGGAGGCGCTGGTGTCACGGTGTGAAAGTTCGTACAGCCGAGGCTGTTGTTGTGCCAAAAATGACCATGACCCAATTCAGGTTGCACAGGAGAGATGCCTATATGCTGAGCTTACAGCATTTTGAGGATGGAGTTCCAGTGTCATTTGTAGTAGGAGAAATGATGATAAAATAATTTATGTTTCGACCTGCTACTGTACTCAAACGATGCCAGCACAATATCGTGTCAATGATAGCAGCACCATTGGGGTGGCAGTTAATTGGACGGCCCCGAATCCGAGGTGCCACTCCGCGTCCAACCCGTTTCACTTTTCACTCTTTCACTCTTTCACTCTTTCACTCCTTTCAACCGCGACCACGTCCCACTTTCCCTATTCTTCATTTTCAGCAGCGCATATACTCACCTGCAAACTCATTTCCAGCAGTTCAATGATATTGTATCTTGAACTCTAAAGCCTGCTCAGCATAGTATCCAAAATTTTGTTTCTGTGGCTCACTTTTAGACCAACATCATCTATCACATTCACCATCTATTACACTCGAGATTGGTGTTGTATTTCTCCACCAACGCCCATAGGTGTGATTGCATACACCTTAGGTAGCGTCCGTATTTTCTTGACAAACTGTCGTAGGTGCCACCACTGCGCTACCAAGGTGTGTTCGTTATCCACGTCAACATCAAGGCGGCGATATGAATCTTGCAACGGTGTATTGGTAGTCCTGCGAATGATGTGCGATGGAGGGAGTTGCACCTTCACCGACATCAACACCCAAATGCACTGGGTCCAAGCATGACGGATACATCTTTTGATAGATGTCTCTGGATCGAGGCAATCCCTGCACCTTCATCATTGTTTTCGTAAGCCTTCCCAAGATTATTATCAAACGCGATGTTAACATTGCTCTTTAGTACCATCCTAATACGAAAACTGGCGCGTCATGGAGATACTCCAATTACTAGGAAAAAAATACGAACCCTTCTAGCCAAGGTATATGCGTGCATTCATAGGCGTAACTTTTGTTATGCCGTAGTAGGAGTCCAGGAAGTGGCGTGTTCGTCTTTGGGGAGCAACCTTTCGCAATATCAACAACATGCCATACTACCTCCCCCAGATGGTTTATTCTCCCTATATAGTGCGTATGGGTTCCTGGTCTTCAGGAACAGCTTTGGACACATGCTCCATGACGTCGAAACCAGTTCTGATCACGGGTCATGTTATTTCTTATAGAGGATATATGCGCAAAGTACTTCTTGTGGGTGAGCTAGTCTTCTGGACGTAGGAAAACTTAACGAGCCTCACTGTTTTGCTAGTAGTCCTACACATTTCTCTTCCGATCCCGAGGACTCCGAGCGGACCGTATCTTTCCTAAGCCATCAAATATGATGGTTGCACGTCTCCAAGTTCCAAGTTTTCGATATGTCAGTCGGCGTTCATATTATTTTGGACGTTAGCAGAAAAAAAGATGAGAGTTTTGTGAAATTCTGCGCGCAAGCAAGTACAAGGAAATTCCTCGGTTGTCAGGGCCAGCGAGAATACAAGCGCATTCGCCAAAGGCACAAGCACTTTCCATTTCGTCGGCTATGGATCTCGTTACTTCTAGACGTTACAAGGCCCATGGCTTCCCTCTCCAAATCTTATCCATAGTGCGCGCAACACTAATATCTGATCTTGAACTTTGATACTCTGAAGTCCGATAAGCATGATGGTGCATTCGGTGTATCTTCCAGGCCCATATGCACCGACCTTTCAGGTAGGCGCCACAAATCCTCATCCCCGTCTCATTGTTTTTATTCGAGCCTCATTTCCGCCAATTCTGCCCTCTTCACGCGCGCCTCGAGGCTGGGGTAATGGAGCTTCGCTCGCTCATCGTTCATGCGGAAGCCTCGTGGGTGGCCTACTTACGAATATCTTTGGTAGGCGAAAGCCTTCATCATGATCCACAAAACGTATTCTTTGGTCATGGCTTCGACGTTCTCCGGCCGGTGTTGCGGCGACAATTTTATTATCACCGCAAACCTAGTTTTGCCAGCCTTATCATCGATTTGGTATAAGTCGCATCTCCGTCCTCCGAGTCAGCAAGCAAGAGCAATTTGACTCATCGACACATCGCTAGCACGTTTGAAATGTCTTGCAACGCATTTCATCTGCTCAACGGCGAGTGGCATCTCCAGGCACGGTGCAACCGTCGGGAAACCTCTCACCACCAGGGAATAGTCCGGTGATATTCACTCCCGTCTGCCGCATCGGAACTTGGAAATTGAACTCTCATGATTGATGATATTATTTCGCACGTGGGATAATACCCCCATTTCTTCCATTCCACGACTTCCGCATTAGCCATGAGAATATCAGGTATGTACATATCCAGCGATTTTGTCAGCTGATGAGCCGAGCCAGCGAGCAACTAAACTTGTTGCGGATATAAGCTGGGAAAATCAAGCCGTTTCACTGAAACGGTGCGATGCTATTCTCTTACAGGTATGAACTATTTACAAGATAAAGAGAAAGAGTGAGTACGAATGTTGACTCACGAGTGTTGCGAGAAAGGAAAGACAGGTATGTTACAGACTGGAGGCCTCCGTTATAGCAATACAATAGTACATCGATAGATGAGTGGGATGTCAGTCGTGGGGATAGGAAGAAGCAAGCGTCTGAGGCGGAATCAAAAGGCAGGGAGCGATGACATGAATGCCGTGAAATCCAAATCTACATTGGCTAACTCCGTCTTGGCCGGCTCGAATGGCGCAAACTGGTGTTTCGAATACGGAGCATCGTTCACCTGATTGAACATCGACCCATCTGAAGCCAGCGGGTGGCCAAATATGCCTGCGTCGTTTGCATAACCATGCGACTGATGATGTTGAATATCGTATGGACCCGCGAAAGCATCGATGTTAAATGCATTGAGATCGAACGGATCGCTTGAATCCATGGCTACCTGATCGTAACATGGACTGTGCAGTGAACGGCTCCGTGGCGTTGCAGGCATACTTGAGAATGGAGACGAACGTGGAGACCACTCGTCTGTGAATGTAGTGTCGATAGATAGAGTAGGACTTGGTACCCTATTACGCTTGGGGGTGCAGGGAAAGTTCTCTTGCTGCAGTGTCCCAGAACATATCGAGTCACCAAAAGCAACGTCAAACAAGTACGGGTCGAATTCCTAGTGGGCGCACGATCCATTAGATACAGCAGTAGTGTATAACAAATCAGATGGACTTACAAACGAGGGTTGTGGTTTTTCAGGGAATGAGTAGGCGGGCGAGGGAACAAAAGAGGGTGAGAACGACGCCTGATAGAAGGCTTCGTCAGAGAAGGTAGGCGCCGCTAGAGGCTCCTCGACCTTGGAGTTAGATGGTGCAGGGTAGAGAGCTGGCTGAGTGCTCCAAGCACGTAATCGACGAGAGGATGATGACGACGACGACGACGACGATGAGGAGAGGAATGGCTGCTTCGATTGCGGATCGACCACCGGTGCTGAAGAAGACCGCCGATACATACGAGCCGTGATGGGTACTTCAAATCGAGTCACAATTTCTGGCACATGATGGCGATCGAACTCTTGTATCGCAGCATCCAACTCTTGGCCCTTCTTTCCCTCGACGAGTAACTCTGCAATTTTCGCGCACCGTTTTACGTCTTTCGGTTCGACTTCTCGAACCTTCCGCTTTTCGGTCCCTCCCTTTCCTTTCGTTTGAGAAGGACGGAATGCGTACTGGGGCCATTTGCGCCTGTGCTCCTCAAGAGCGGCTTTTGCCTTTGCATGCCAAATCTGCCTCTCTTCGTGAGGCATGTTTTGCCAGGTGAGACCGATGATCTTCGACAGCGTGCTGTGGTTGGTCTCGACTTCGGTAGACACGTGTTGGCTCTTTATGAATGAAGAACGGAAGAGGATGAAGGCATTTGGAGGGCGGGGGATGTGATTCTCAGGTCTCTTCTTGCCATGTCCAGAGCGACGAGACGGACACTCTGAAGAAGGACTTGGGAAGAGAGCAGGTAGCTGCGAGTCGTCGAGTGACTGAGGGGGATCGTTGAACGTCACAGGCGTCAGAGTTGGAGCGAATGCGATGCTGTGGGTCACAGGTTCGACAGGTGTGGTCCAAGTCAGTTGAGCGCCTGTTAGAGAACGTAGGCGCAAATCAGTTTCACATATGGGGCGAAAGAGTATTGAAGACATACCATCTACATCGCAACGTTTCGAGTTCCGAGATCTCTCAGCAGGCATAATTGAGGGAGGTGTCGCTAAACAGGTCGAGGAGATAAAAATCTGAGGATAACAGACGAGGGGACCTAGAGAGCAAAGAAGGAACACACGGGTTTATTAAATAGATTTTTTGTAGTCAGAGGGATACGTACATGGGAATCTCAGGGTCCAAGGCAAAAAAGGCAGCGTTTAATCACAGAGATTCTTAACGTGCTTCCTCCAGCCTGCCAACATGTTAGTTCCGAATGTAACCGGGGTTTGGATCTGGTCAGGCATCAATGCATCCCCCGAACAGAACCTGTACATAAGAACGTCCGCTTATTTGGCAGTTCTGCCCCGACACAGCAGAGTGCTCCATCAAATCGACAAGATGAGTCGGACATCTAATCGATTTTTATCTGGACAAGTCTTGCCGAACGTTCCTTATCGTGGACGTGGAATCCGTCCTGGCCTGGCATTTTGCTTCCGCATCGTCCCCGGATGTTTCCTGAACGGCCGCGGCTGTGCCTTGTGTTGCCTTAACCGCGGCTCGATACTACAACAAGCCCTTTATTTGCTATTATATTTTCTAGCAGACACATCGACATCGACGCCAACGTCGACAAAGATACATATCACTTGATTCCGCTGGCCCATCTTTACGTCCATCATATGCTTGCGGCAAGTTCATTTCGGTCGAGCACGAGTCTATGTTTTGATCTTGATGAGCCCGACTGATGCATCTTCGCTGCGGCAGTCTACACTGGTGTACGTTGCTTGTCTCCGTGGCCATTGCCTTCTTTGGTGCTCATTGTCTAGCTACTGTAAGATCTGTGCCGCCCACTTCCTACTTCTTATCAGGCTTTGCACTGTGATGACGATCGATTACTCTTCTGGCTTACGGCCCTGGGATCCGGGGTGCTCTTTTCGTTAGAGTTCAGTGCCATATGACCTTACCTCAGAAAGTTCATATTCAATTTGGAAGTACCTCTAGCTCCACGCATAAGCTTGAGTTTTGGTGTGGGCTGATGATTATAGTACGTCTCAATGCTGATGCCATTTCTTATGTTACATTGGCGCAGAACTCCGGATCACCTCATCTGCGAGTCAACAACGAGGCAGAGAAGTATTTACGATCGATCGTGACCCTGGTTCGAGTCGACAATATCGTGCAGCCAATACGCCCACCAATAAATACATGTATTTTACAAGACCGGCGGCCGTAGTCAAGTAGCCGTCCCTCCGCCACTCGCGGATGCAAGCGGGGCCGTCTAGTCCTACCAGGCCTGCTGAACTTCAAACATGTACGAGTTTCCTTTCTTTCGTCTACCAACGTAACTGCGACTTCTACACGAAAGGGCTCATATGAAACTTCCGCACTTGTCTACCAAGGAGTAACAGCTACCGTGTAGCTTGCAACTGCCGTCTGGTATAAGGTACTTCCGTCTCCGTCTACTAGATTTCAGCAGAGGAACTAATGTTAGCTAGCAAATGGTAGTGTGAGAAGCAAGGTGAGAAGTATGTTTTTTTTCTAGGCTGCAGATCATGGCTAAATTGTCGGCTTCCAGGATATTTGATAGAACTGGTGACAGCACTGATATCCAGAAGGGTGTGATGCCATTACATTGCAAAGCATGCTTCTGAAGATATTGCGACACCTCGTGTCCTCAACTTTTAACATAGGTATTGCTGCAGCGTTGGCACGAGTCGTTGATCTATTCCGCTGTGACACAGCACACTATCGACGTATCACGCATCATGTACGGCGATCTAAGTCTTGCGGTGACGGATCCCGCACAGTGGGATTGCTGCTGTATGAACATCAGTACACGGCAACTGGCTCAGCCCTCGAATCAACACAGACCCACAGGCGGTGCATTCATACTCTGGGTGTATGATGTCGCTACCGGGGTTAAGTGATCTTAGCATTCAGTATGTATTTGGTTGCATGATGCGTGTATCTAAATCACCGAGGTATCTTTTCAAATTTTATGTTACGACTCTCATGGGGGCCGTTGACAGGCTATCCCTTCAGTAAAATTTTAATGTAGTTCATCGTCAATAGCGCGTACTCTTTGGACACCAGAGGATGAGAGCAACACTGGGCATAACGTAAAGCTGTTATAAAAACATCTCGGTGACCACAAATTCAGGAAACCCGCGGGACCAACGTTTCGTTTCTGGAAGTCAAGCTACGTGCCCATTGTTCGTTGTGACGTTGCCGTTAACTGAGCTTCGGTACCTTGCTTACACACTTTCACACAGACACCTTTTCTTGTGCGCGCAGCAAGTGACTAGTGACTATCTGATCCTGTCTCGGCTTGTACGTGATTATGAGCAGGGGTTATGGGGCTCTACGATCTAGGCCGCCCCTAGGTAGCGAGCTGGCACGTCGTGAGCTGGCATGTCGTGTATTCATTGTTGGCATGTTTCCAGAATTTATTGACAATTGTCCTCGAAAGCCCCAGTCCTCCACCGTGCTTTACGTTGTGAACAACTGCTAATTTTCTTCTTCGTAGTAGCCCCGAGCTACTGCGACGGTGCCAAGTCCCCCCCCCGCGCGCGCCCGCGTGGAACAGGGTTAAATATGCAACACGACATGGCGAGAAGGGGCTCTTCTAATAAAGTACGCTATAATATTAATATTTATTCACATCATCAAATACTGGCTTACTGTTTCCTGGTGCACTATTCCTCGCTGTACTTAGCTCTATTATTTCAAGCTTTGGCATTGGTGTGAATTCTCCCGCTCTCGATTTAAATTTGTCGGCAGTCGCACTCTGCCAGATATTTTTGAGATGAATTTGAAGATGAATTGACAAATTTGATGCCAATTTTTTTCCCCAAATGCTTGTAAGGGGACGGCCCACACGTCTCCACCCTCAACTCTATTATATTCTGTATACTAGTTACAGTTCTAAGCACTATGCAAGCGATCGAAAAATCAGAGAATGGTACTTCCGTGAATCTTTTACGAATTGCACAGACTACAGAATAACAGTGAGCGCTATTGAGCGGGCAGTTTTGGTGAAGTCCGTCATCGCAAAAGCATTACAGACTTGGCACCTCTCACTCCAGTCCACGACCCTATGGTTGACGAGCCCTTTCGATGAACAACATTCCGCACACTGGAAAGTGCCGTGCAGGGCCGAACATTGTGTTTAAAAATCAAGAATAGCATGCCACAAAAACACATGACAGAAAATTATTCACGGACGGAGTAGTCCGCCCTTCTCACTTGAAAAAGAACATCAGTCCTATGACATTTAGGGAACGCATTACCTGAGCCTTGATGTATATGTGATTGAAGTTATCTGACCACTAGGATGCAAGGGCAATACGTAACAGGAGTCATTAGGGGGAAGATGCCATTGACAGTCATTTGACTTGAAGGAGTAGCATGAGCGCGTTCTACGACGTTTTGGGTCGCACACTTGTAGAAACTTGAGATGGAGTATGTGAAAAGCTGAAAGGGCGGACGACCGCGCGAAGAAGCAAGCTGCAGAAACCATTTGGATCCAACGGTTTCCAGCAGAAGCACCCTGACATTTCTCATTTACTGATGGGTTCGCTCCGGTTCTGCGACACTGACATTGCTCTGACGGCCTCCGGTGATTCATTGCACTTATCAAGACACTTCAGATATGAACCTTTGCTTCCAGCCTCAACCGCTCCTGAAAATAATTACAGAATCATCCAATTTTCGTCATACTGAATCTGCGTCAAAATAAACTGACCTATCTCTCATTATAACCTTCGGAGGTTCACGAAGTCACGTTCGGGCTCATGCCTGCAGAAAGGCCCGGGGCCGTGACATTTTTACGTTCTTACTCCACGTTTGGGACCTAAACCTGAACTATGGATCGGCATTGCCAGTATAGACAGTATCGAAAGCGGGGTAGGGCTTTCTGGGATAAACAGGGACTCTAATCGGCAGAGATAAAAGACTAGACCGTGCAGTGAAAGTCTTGCTCAGTCCGGTAATTGAACGTGGCTGGATAGCCACCGGTGCCAATGTCGTGATTCCGTGGATCTTCCTTTGATCCATCCTCTTCACCCCTGACACGGTCAACTAGCGCCCGGCTTGAAACTTGAAGGTGGTCCTAGCTTCTTCTTCTTCACAATCTCGGATATCTGCCTGAAGCCACTGACAGTTGGTGGGGATCATGATCGATGCTTGTACGTCCCGGTGTTTTGGATCCGATAGACTACGTACGTAGTGATATATGATAGTATGATAGGTCCAGTTTTGTGGTATCCTCTCGACTTGCGTGTGGCTTCCTTGCGGCGTCGTTCATTAGCATCATATGATCATTGAGCCTATACCACCTCCACCCAATAGCATCGCGCGCATTGGAAAGTTGAATGCGGGTTCCCAAGTTAATTTCCAGCGAGCTTCATGAAAAGTGTCACCAGAAGCCAGAAGTGTGGTACTGTGCCTGTGGTTGGTGCAGACTACCAAGATGACGAAACGACCTGAAATAACCTAGTCGCGCCAGCGATGAAGTAGACTTGATCATGCGGTCGTAGCTTGAGATAACATGCGTGAACGTCGCCCTTTTTTTTTTCCGCGATGGAGGTAAGAGCCTGCTTGAGGCAGAATTTCTTGGAAAAGCTTTGTCAGTGCCGTCATTTCAAACCAACCGTTCAATCAGCACGACTTGACATCATTATATCCCGCGTGCACACCTTGCGCGTTGCATTGCCTAAGACCTGACGAGTGACCAAAGGGCCCTGAAGGATTCCCAGACATATATTCGCGTGCAAATTGACTTGTGATCCAGTCGGTTTTCAGACGCTTCCTCTTGCAGTAAGGCTTGTCATGTCATATTCGTGCTTGCTTGCATGCTTGTATAAAGGCCGGGGGTGTGATATTTTTACTCCGTAACCTGAACTGTGGATCGCCATTTCCCGTATGGATGGTATCGAAAGGAGGTTTATCCTGCTGTAGTACTATGGCGTCTAGTCGGCAGCCTGCCAGCAAAAGATAAGTAAAACCAGAGCCGTCCAAGCCTCGATGCTCTTTTCCATATCCATAGCCCGGTAACTGAAAACGTTAGTGGATAAGCCAGGACTGCCAATGCCGTAAAGTTGTGGCTCTTCCTTTGATCCATCCTGTTCATTGCCTTGTATGGATCGTCCAGCGCCCAGCTACAGACTTGACATGATTATGGCTTCTCTTCTCCACAATACCGGATATTTGCGGAGGGAGGGAGGTGCCACTGACATCTGGTGGGGATCATGATCGATGGTTGTAGATGCCAGTTTGTTGGATCGGATAGACTACGTGCGCCGGTGATGGCGTGATAGGTCCAGCTTTGCGGTACAGTGTCCTCTCGAGTTGCGTGCAAGTCCCTTTACGGCCCTGTTCAGTATCATCTGATCATTGCGTCTATGTAGCTGCATCCAATCACAGCTCGCATATTACAAAGCTGAGCCCGGGTTCCCAAGTTAATTTCCTTGCGAGCCTTCATGAAGAAACTGTCAGTGTCATGTCGTTAGAAGTGTGCTAAGGTTCCTGTGGGTGTAGCACTCTAAGAAGACTATTCTTCAGAGAAACAGCCTGGAAGAAGCTAGTGGTGACGATGGTGTAGCACTTGAGGGTCATGTGGGTCGTGGCCCGAGATAGCATGTAGATACGTTGCGCCTTTGATAGGATATCAGATTTGAGGTTGGGAATCGGAGACTGATGGATGTTCTAAGCAAAGCTCAATGGTCAAGGTTAAGTTCAATGTGCCATCACCGCCTCACCTCAGCTATCGTTACTTACGGTCCCGCTCACCCGACCTGCCTTGCCCTCCTAACGTAATCGAGCGCGAGAATGGACCCTTTAATAAGTCTACCGTTCTGGAAGGCTGCATCAGCTCTTTTCAACAGACCTCTGGCAAGAGAAAAAGACATGCGTAGGCGGACTTAAAGCGGAGTATAGATAGTTGAGTATGCCGTGCCGTCGGGACATGGGTTGGCTGTTACGGAATGAGTTGCCGTCGAGCCGACTTGAACGGAGTACTATGTTCAAGAAGCGCCTGAGCCCTTTTACGGGTGGAACAGAGTCTGGGGGCTGATATTCACCTACACATCGCCACAATCAATATTCAGGCAAATAGTTTAGTCTCCTTTGTCTCTATTATTTGAGTTTGGGCAGAATCTGTATGACAAAATTCTCAGTGGTTTCACACCAGTAATATACATTGACAGACGCACTGACGATGGGGGGTAATAATGTAAACGTAGCAATCAGATGTAGAAATCAGTCCACTAGAAATTATCTATAAAAAATTCTTGCCTCCCTCCCTCTCTCACCTCCGCCGCATGCATTATGTATGCCATCCCTCTCGTTGGTACTCACAGGAACCGATTGGTAGAGGGGTCCAAATCTTTCGCCATTCTCAGCATCACCACGTTAGATGTAAGGCTAGAGAACTGCAAATAGAACACCGAGTTAGAACATGATGATGTGTGTCGAGAATTTTTGGGGTGATCAAAACTTACGCCATTCCCAACGAACACTTCGGCTTTCTCAGCAACGGCCATGTCCACCGCCATCGAGACGTAAAATTGCTCCGCATCAAGGTGTATATCCAAGCTACTAATTAGCTCGTCCCACCCGTCCTCTTCCAGCGCCAGCTTCAACTCGTCCAGCCACCACGCCCACCCGTTCGAGAGGAGATATACACGGTGGAGATTGGGGTGCTCCTTGCGCACTTCATGTAATCTTGCGACAATTTGACTGGTGGATGGGTAACAGTGCTCGAGATAGTATCCCTCCAAAACTTTGTGCGGCGCGTCGGAATAGGGACTTGGGTCGAATCTGTCAGGTAGCGACGGATGCTCGTTCATGCCCATGTAGAGAGCGCCCCATAGAGCCAAGTTGGGGCAGTGCCGCTGGTAATCTCCCCTTCGCAAGTGAACAGCCACCATGCCCTTGAAAGTAGTTGATGAAGAGAAGTCATATAGGCTTTCTGGGGTGCTAGGGCGAAGAAGCGCGAAGTTGCGAGCAATGGCAGATAGTACGAGCGGTGACCACGAGAAATTCGTAAGAATGGGCGAAGAAGATAATTCTGGCCAAAGGGACAGTAAACGTGGGCCTCCAAAGAAACTAGATAACACTGATCAATAACGAACTAAACAGGGAGAAGGGATACCTGAAAGAATCCGTACAATCTATCGAAAACATCGTGAGATGTCGAGTCTACCTCTACGCAGGTATCATTGGTGGCAACCAATTCCTTGTGCCACCAGTCTATCATCACGATGCCATCTGCATCGTTGGGTGCGTACTCAGAGCTTATGACGCGCTTTTTTTCCTTGTTTGGGCATACTTTCTCCCAAAATTCAGCACTGATGGCTCTAGGGCCTAGAGTGGGTCCGCCAGCGGGTGGACCTGATATAAAGGCATTTATAGGCACATGAGTAGGACGTAAGGCAAAATCATAGATGGTATAGGGAAATGGAGTATGTGACCAGGTATAATCCTCGAAGACGAAAGACATGTTTGAGATGGATGCTAGATAGGACATCAAGATACTGCGCAGCGCAGCACAGTCAGCAACAGAACGATGAAAGACAAGACGACGAAAGCGTACATTTCTTGGAGAATATTGTTGAAGCCGTGGCCCCATAAATGACCAGGGAAACGCAGGTACCTGTTTGGTGGATTGGCCTGTGAGGATAGTGACAGGTCATGTTGTGGGAGACGTCTCTCATAGAGGCGGATATCGTCGTAGCTTGGTGGGATACCTGGCCAGAGGATGGCTATTACGAGGACGACGGGGATGAGGGCGATGGCGATGAGCAAGCGACGAATAGTAAACTTTTGAATGCAAGCACGGAAAATGCTGCGCCATGATCGACGTCGAGTACTGCTGTTTGAAAAGGTAGATGGAGACGTGCCAGTACGATGTGAGGTATCTCCTGCGAGTAACTCATAGTCCCCTGATACATTTCGCGCACCAAACATTTTTCTCGTTAATCTCCGCCATGAATCCATAACTGACGGCAAAGAAAGGTATGTGAAGGTAAGAAAGGAAGAGGTGATATTAGTGTCAGGAGAGAGTGCTGCGCGAAGATTTAGTTGCGGCTACTGATCATGAAGGCATGAGCGTGTGTGCTAGAGTGTTAGTGGCTGTAATAGCGCCCACCACTGGCAGCGGCTATCGCTTGCCGTCCACTGCCTTGCATCTTTTTTCTCATTCCTCCTTCATATTCCTTTTATCGTGGTTGCTGTTGTGTTTTTCGCTGGTTTGTCGTGTGAGCAGAGTGCAGTATGTATTTCTCCGACCCCAGTGCCCACCCAGGGATCCTTTCTGGTTCGCATTTCCCAAGACAGGCTGGCAACGCTTCAGAAGCCTCTTCTGCCTCTGCCTCTGGTACTGGTGATTCCACTTCCAGCACAGGCTCTGCAGTTCAACCAAGTGCACCGACGTCTTCAGTGGACCCACCGCCTTCGAGCACTCAGGTGTGAAAATTTGCATTATATTACTCTAGTAGTTCTATCACTCAATCAAGCACAGGGAGGCTACACCACTGCCACCTCGACATCAGGAACTGGAGATGGCCAGACATCATCTACTTATGTCCAGCCTACGTCTGACAGCGTGATCAGCTCTCCTTCGTCGACGCAGCCCTCGTATGTCCCTTATCTCGATCCACTACAGTCGTAGCTTAATATCTTGATAGGTCCACCCCAACTTCCTTATCTCCCTCTTCGTCTCCTCCTTCGTCAAGCTCTTCCGCGAGTACTCCATCTTCTACTCCAACTAGCACTCCGACGTCTTCCGTTTCACCAACTAATACCTCCTCCTCGTCTTCTTCTTCACCTTCTTCTTCACCCCCGCCATCGTCATCTACCTCACCAACTAACACTTCTTCCACTTCTCAGCCTACCTCTTCTTTACCCCAGTCTTATTCGACTTCTTACACAGTAATAAACGGAGTTACATCATCCTCACTTGTCTCCCCAACAACTCTTAGCAGTGCACCACCAACTTCTCTCTCCTCAAATGAACGCAGTGCAATCATCGCAGGAAGTGCCACCGGGGGTGCTCTTCTCCTCATCCTCGCCCTTTCCTTTCTTTTCTATCGCAGACGCAAAGAGTTCAAGCGACTCGGATTTATCGATACGATAGCTGCCTACAGGAGGCAAAAACACTCTAGAGCCACACTCCTCGATGGCGAGGACCTCGAGGACGTCCATATGTCCAGGCCACCTCCCGGAAGGTATTCAGATTACGAAACACCCTGGGACCCATCAATCCCGCACATGAGCTCTCGCTCCCTTGCAGCAGGGCAGAACCAAAATAGCAGCACTCCGTCCATCCTGCTGCGTGCAAGAGGATCAGAGTCTGGGTCTGTATTCCACGAAGAAGTTTGGCCTCCCCCAGGCGACCGCAGCCGTCTAGTAGACCCCTTGAGCGACCACGGTGCCAATTACTCAGACTTGAGTAGGATAGTCGACGACGTGATGGGCCCGTCTGCTGCCACCGAGGGTATCCATTACTCGCAATATTCGCTTTCGTCGTCTATGCGGGAGCCGTCTGGAGATTCGTTGCATTCGGGTTTACATTCAAGGTCCTGGTCAGCTGATTCTCAGTCCCAGCTGTTAGAGGCTGCGGGGCTTATACCATCATCTACACCGCCTTCGCCTTCCCGGCAGCCGATCAAGCCGAGTCCGCTAGCAGAGTCGAATGCAGCTGCAGGAGGCTCGATGACTGCTGCTACATCGAAGAACTGGCTTCACCGTTCGCCTCTTAAGAACGAAGTGGATCCCAGGGATGGGCTTGCTGATGATACACCACACGCTTTGTGACGTGGTCGTGTCTTTGGTGTTTTATGGGCTTGTAAGTGCTTGTATCATTACATTTTTTTAAATATAAAACTCAATCCTTGCTAGGTATATCATGTTCATTAGACCCTACTGAACGTTGAATATATAAAAACATATTTTTATGCTGTCCTACGTACCCCACATCTTCCCATTTATGTACCTACTGTTGTTGTCCTTCTTCCGAGGAACAGACTTTCTTCTCGGGCTCATCGTCACAGACTTTATTTATACGATATCTGCAGTCACAGTTTGTTCTTCTCATGTGCTCATTGTATATTCTGACACTCGCCTCAGGATATTATTGATACTATCAAGCTTGCCACCAAGGATCCCCTTTTCATCCATCTTGCAATACAACCGTCCTTTTCATTCCGTACTCACGAGGATGTTGAGATGATGCCCCTCGGGCAAGTGAAGTACATGCACAGTAAGAACTTCAGGTTTTCCTCTTGCATTCCACGTGAGTCACAATAACCATATACATGACTTGGCACCTCTGATTGCCTCGTTTTTCGTGGGATTGAGAAAGCGTGTCAGAATGAGGTAGTCAATGTCTGCTGCTGGCTTATTTTTTGTTTCAAGTCATATGTTGCTCGCGGTTTTCTCTGAGCTGACCACTGGCAGAAACGCCTGCCTAGCGCTTACTCTTCGATCATGATTGATCTTCGGACATGCCCCATAATGATGATCATGACTACAAGAAGCAGCGAGGTTCCAAGCTCCAGTGGGCATTCACAGTGCTCAGCCATTTGCCGGTGAGACGTTTCTGCTGGAGAATATTCAATTTTAATGCATAATTATGACAATTTCTCATACAGACCGAACAGGCTTATACGTGCGTTTCTCAATTTCATTATAATATCGGCATCGATATAACAAGTCTTCGATCAAATTTTGTACGTTGTGCCCATTGGCCTACCTAAACATGAGGCGTCCGCATGGATCGATGCGATACCCATATGCATCTACACACCCCAAGTTATAGACTTCAGTCGTGTAGTCACTATCGCAAAGTCTTCAACTAACCTCACAAAAACTCATCTCGTCGACGAAATCATGCATAGGTGTCTCCTCATACGTGAAATCCAATCTAACATCTTTGCCCAGGAAGTCGACTCCGAGCCCCATTCCTTTCACCCGACAATTGATAGTAGAAAGCTGCCCAAAACGCAACACATGCTCAGTGCCCTTGCCCAGACGTGTCGCTCATTCAGCGATCTTGCTTTGGATGTTCTTTATGGTGAATTGGATGACTTTAGCCCATTGGTTCGATGTCTTCCGAAAGATCTAGTGGGAGAGGTTTATGGAAAATTGGTATGTTTGAGTCTATAATAGATTGTAGGACATGGCTCTTGAGCTAATTGGCACCACTCATTTTTTGATAATATTGCGCACAGACTTTCCTAAGGCTGATGTGCCCAACGGACTGGGATATCTTTCTAAAATATGCCGGTCGTGTCAAGAGATTAGAACTACACGACTGTCACTCTGGCGTTGGCGCTTTAACCCTCATCATGGCTGGTTTTGGGCCAATGAAGCCTTTACCATTTCCAAAGCTCAAGTACCTAGGTGTCTTCTTTCGAATACGAGCATGGCAGCATGTTTTGCGTCCATTTCTCGGGCCGCAGCTCCTTGGGCTCAAACTCGAATTTCTTCTCGAAGCAAAAGACAAAAATCGAAGCTTGGCATTTTTCAACTCTCTCAACGCTACGTGTCCCGCATTGACATCTATTCATCTCAAGCCGTCACAGTCAGACGCCAGTGGTCACGCGGCGAGATCTCTTCTGAATGTGCTGATGAACGTGATTTGTGGATGGGATCATCTCAAGGAGATATCGTGCGACATTCTCAGTGAGGATGCCTTGGTCCATCTCGCCCGTCTGCAGTCGTTGCAGAGTTTGACGTTTAGAGTGAACTCGCTTGATTTTCACCCCAACTTTTCGTCGCAGCATACTATCTTTCCAAGCCTTCGGCACCTCACGTTGTATCCCATCGGAAGATCCTGTTTGGACTGCTGCATCTCATTGCTCAGGTGCTTGTCATCATGTCCCGTCAGTTTCCGTGTCTTCCCTAATGGAAGGTTCGAACTGCACGTCTTACAGCGTTTGCTGTCTACACTAGATAGCTTTGCGAGTTCACGAGATACCATCGAAGGGCTCTGCATAGTGGAAAACGCCGCATGGGATACATATCACGACCGCATCCAAGAAACTGTCATCAATTTCGGGATACTGAAAGTTCTTCCTACCTTCCATCGTTTACGCGAAATCAAGATAGACACGAGTTTCCCGATTTCAATGGACGATGAGACGTTGAAAGAGGTGGTAACAGCGTGGCCCAAGTTGCAAAAACTGTCACTCAATGCGAAGCATGGGTGTAGAGGTCATTCAAAAGTCACTACCAACGGTTTCGTCACCCTATTGCGACTCTGCCCAGAACTGGAGGAGCTCGGTTTGGTCATCGTCGTGGAGGGCATTAGTCCGAAATTTCCCTTGTCAATGCAAGGACCTCTCAACAGCAAACTAACCGAACTGCAACTAGGCGACTCTAAAATTGGTGCCACCGATTATGTGTACTTCGCAGTCATCATATCCATCGTTCTTCCTCGAGTCCGGTCGATCTTCTCCTGGTTCTCAATACGTGGTCTCGAGGAAGGCCACGAGCAGCGCACTAGATGGATAGACGTGCTGAGTCTATTGTCCATTTTTGCAGACATAAAAGAACCAGGCGAGAAGTGTGTAGCTGCAGTGCACATGATGGATGAAATCACCAAGAATTCTGCGAAAAAGCCTCGCAGGCGGTATAGTTCCTGAAGCAGTTGTCTCGAACTGCAAGGTTAGCTTTTTGTTTCTGTCATGTAAGAAAATAATATTTATGGATTAAGTGTTATATAGGTGCAACTCTTTCCCGATCACTGGTTCAATCGCAAGGACATTTACCTTTCTGCTGCATGGTCGTTTTTCTTCGTTCTTCTATCAATGTTGCGCCCCGTCTTCTGCATTTTATACCATGACAATCTGGCTCTGATCCCCTCGACATCGCAAGACCATAATCTTCTTGCTGTATGGCAGCAGACTCTGCGAGTTAATCAAGATGAGAAGGAACATAATACTTGGTATTGATCTCCTCGTCAAAGAATGTCAATAACACTATGAGCCTCTACGATGACCGCACTGGACATATTTATACATCCATCTTCCCTTATACACTGCCTGGGCGTACTTTCCACAAACGGCGCAAGGGGTATGAGTTTACAGCAATGATAGAACTTTCAGTAGTTGTGCGCTTCTGATCGGATCCATTGACCTGGGCCCCGCGTCAGCAAAAGGATGAATTTACAGCTTACAGCAGCGATAAGACTATCAATAGCTACGCGCCTCTCCAAGTCGTCGGTCATTGATCTTGGTCACTGGCTGGCGGCACCACTCAAACGGAAAAAGTGTCCTGTTAGGCTTAGCTGGATATGTGGCGCAGTTTGATAGTACAGACTCCAAATATGCCGCGGGATTGAAAGACACACGTCACGTGTGGCGACCAGCGTTCAAAGGAATCATGATCTTCTTTCAAGTTAGCCATACTTAACGCTCACAAAATCCAGAAATGGCTTATATCACTGGTCAGGGTGCTTCCACAATACTCTATTATAATATTTCCTCATTATAGTCAAAATCTCAGCTAAGGAACAATAAATTGCCCTATCATATCAGTATGCAAGTTGAATCACCACCTACCTGTGAGCTTCAGCAATTGGCCTCTCCTTGGATTGCCATTGCCAACTCCATCAGAGGCGCTTGGGACTCGAGATTTGGTCATAGATTCGCAGACATACCATAATGGCCTCGACTTCGACGGACCCCGAACCACGCGCATGAGGTGCATACTATATTATGGCGCCTTTCGTTTCCCTTACCTTACCTATCATCTCTGTTGTTTCCCCTCCATCAGCAGTACAACACTAGTAACACGTCGAACCGTTTCCCCTGTTGGCTTTCATTCATGACATCGCCTGAACAACCAATGTACGTGATCGTCTCGCGTCTAAGAGGTTGAGGCTTATGTCTTTCCTTGATCGTGGAACCATAGCCCAAGTCAGAAATGTGACTGCCTCAAGAAAAAGGGAAGAAAACTAGTGGTGTGTATCGATGGTACATCTAACCAATTCGGACAAAAGGTAGCTCGTTATCCCCGTGAAGTATAGCATCTTCTTATTTGTGAGCTTTAGAACACAAATGTCATTGAGATATACAGCCAAGTTTGCAAAGACCCAAAAGACAACCAGCTAACTTACTACAATAGTGGGATCGGTACATTTGCAGAGCCTTCTTGGAAATCACTTCGATACTTGGGTCAGGTCCTGGACCACAAAATTGATCTTGCAATTGCTTGGTTTGTGAATTTTATATGTACTGCAACTTCAAATTTAACTATCCTACTATAGGAACTTCGAGCAGATCGTCATGAATGCATACCGCTGGCTCGTAGCCGATTATGAACCAGGTGATGTCATTTATCTATTTGGTAAGAAGATTGCATCAACATTATATATGGAGTGTCTCAAAACAAAATTATGAAGGTTTCTCTCGAGGCGCGTATCAAGTTCGTGTTCTTGCAGGCATGATTGAGAAGGTTTGTGTATCGTTCTATCCTTCAGAATTGTAACCCAAGTCGCCATAAACCTTGCAGGTTGGCTTGATCCATAAGGGAAATGAAGAACAAATTCCATTGTACGTGGAAAAATCAATACCTTTTCGTGCGAGTTATTCACACTCTCTACATACTCTCTATTTCATAGTGCTTATGAGCTATATGCAAATCCTAAAAGTGGCCTTCCCGATCCCCAGCCCCAGGGTGATCGGGAAGAAGGGGTTTTTGCAGAGCTTCTACATCGCTTTTGCCAGTTTATGAAGAAGAAGTCGGGGCAAGTTGGCGAGCTAGAGAAAGAAGCAGGGGACGGTACAAAGCAAGAAAAAGACCCACATACCAATAGCGGTCAAGCTAGCAAAAGCGAACCACAGGGGGATGGCACTTCTGAGTTACCGATCAAGGAAGGGGATCCTGGGCAGGGAGACGAGCATGTCAGAGGGCATGTAAGCAGTACAAAGAAAGAGGCGCTCCCAAAGAACAACCGCTCGCCATTAAGTGCCGCGCTAACAGAAGGTCCTCGGGATTCAGCGAAGCCGGAGTTAGAACAGCAAACCGAGCAGGAAGGAAATGATCCCTCTACTTTGGCAGGTCGCTTCAGGAGAACATTCTCGAGAAAAAATGTGAAGGTTCATTTTGTTGGCGTGTGGTTCGTCATCCAATCATAAACTTCACAGTATGCCTTACATAATCTTTTTTTAGGGACACCGTCTCATCTATTGGTATTGTCAGAGAGAAAAATCTGCCATTTACGATTACACTAGACCACATTTGCTATTTCCGCCACGCCCTGGCTTTGGATGAACGCCGAGTGAAATTTTTACCGGAATATGCACGAGGAGGTGTCATGGTGCCAAGTAATTCGAAGGAGCCGCGTACTGTGAGCCCGAAGGATACTTTTTTCAGGTTTACAGGCTTGCTCAATAGTCAAAATCATAGCCTACACAAGGAGATCGCAAGGAAAACGATGTGAAACTCGCCCCAAAAGTCAAGGAAGTCTGGTTTAGTGGGACACACTCAGACATGTGAGCATTTCTTGCCGGTATAGTCGTACTATTATCGACCTGCTTAGTGGCGGAGGTAATATCGAGAACTCCAACATGAAAAGTCGAAGCCCTTCTTCAATATGGATGTCTTACGAAGCAATATCAGCTGGTCTACAGCTAGACATGGACGATACAATTGTGGAATGGAACTGGGATAAGCTGGGTGAAGTGCGTGAGTCACTAAAGGGCGTGTGGCACATTTTAAAATGGCTCCCACTCAAGAGGTTAGCTTATAAAGACGAGGAAACACCCACTTGGCGGTAAGCTTATGTCTTTCTTTCCAAATCGTCTACTGAAGCAGAATTATATCAAAGTTGGCATAGAGGGGTTGGCCGTCAGATTCAGCCTGGTCAAAAAATACACGCTTCGGTTGCTTTTTGCCAAGGATATAAGCCAAAAGCTAAATCAAAGTCCAGGCCAACAATTCGAGATTTAGCTGGAATAGCCCAGCATAAGAAAACCGGCAAAGAGGAAGATCTTTCTTGGATGTTAGAATGGGAGGATATATTGGAGATGGACATTTTTGATTATTCTAAGGCTGAGGATGTGGTCATGAATCTGCAAGGAAGCACTAACCATCAAGATCTTTGGTATCACCGTCTGAAGATGATAATATCCTCTAGTAAGTCCATCCTTAAGGTTCCAATTTTGAAGCTATGCTTGGGATTTACGCTTTATCTAGAAGATGGCCGCGACAGACTCTGCGGAATAAAAGATTTACCTTCTCTTTTGATAAAGTGCCTTAAAGAAGGAAACGAACAATTTAATCTGAAACTGCTCAACTTATACGCTCAGCTACGTGAAACTTGGCTGTGGAAAAAGAAGTATTGATATGCTTGTTTCTGACCGTTCATAACGATGCTAATAATCAGACTTATGTCTCCTGCAACCCGTACCGCGTTGTCTGAATTAAGCAAGGGGGCCAAAGGTGAAGGCACCGTTGTTCGAGTTGCTGGAAGGTTTGCGATGGTCTTTGCCAGTGACTGTTAGTTTATTTCATGTTCTGGAAATATGTCTCTGGATGTTAATCGACTACAGTTCTAGATGATCCTAAGCTATTTGGTGACAAATGGCACTCCGATCTGCGGGAGATTCTGGAACATCAAGAGATAAACAAAGGATTACAACTCGCAGTCATCGCTGCAATGCCGGCTTTGGCTGGTATAGGTATCCTGCAATACTTATTTGAGATGCTCGAAACTAACCACCAGGCAGAAAATTTTAGCACCAAAATTGACGGCGGTATCTTACATTTGCTACTGGGCATCCGTTCAAGTAAAGATGCAGAGCTTCAAAAAGCTGTACTGGGAGTTTTTCCTAGATTGATGAAGTACAGTATGCATGACATCCTTCTCTAGATTACTGCAATGCTCACACACCTCGCAGAGGAATGCCGAAACCATTTCTCATTGCAGCAGCAGTGTTGGACCGAATTCAACAAGATGTTTGGGGATAGAAATACAGATGTACAGAGATCATTTTTGAACGCGGTACTTGCCTTCGCACAGGATGGTATGATAATACTAAACACAGCTCAAATTTGGCATGACTGATGATCCACAGGTACCTGTGGGGAGAAAATGATAGAATGCAATGTACTTGCTACTCTTCAGGAAATGCTTACGACTCACAGCAGTGATAATCAAGTTGTGTCACTGACACTGATCCTAAAGGCAATCGCAGCCTTGGCAGAGCATAGTAAGTCATCTGACATATTATATATTTAATACGAGTAACATGTTCAACAGGTAAATATCGAAGCAGTATGGCTGAAATTGAATTCTTGGAGGCTCTCAAAATATCGAGCATCCAAAATTGGGAGACGAAAGTATTAGCTGCTAAAATAACTACATATTTAGCGCAAGATGGCATGACATTTCTTACGTCGTGTCGTTCGGTTCCACTGATAGAACTAACAGGGGTTTGCCAGAACCGCGTGCTGGATGTCGGATTTCTCGGCGTTCTCCAGGAGATGCTTAAAGATCATGAATCAGATGTACAACAAGCATCAGTGAATGCTATCACAGCTTTAGCACAGCATGGTACAGCTTCATTATATTGTGACGTTCAGTGGTGTTGATGAAACGGCCAGACGCGTGCAGGCACAAGATGCTGGACAATAAAATTCTGGAAGGTCTACTAGAAATGGCGGAAGACCCTAAACAGCAGGGTGTGAGAGAAGCACCTCTCAAAGCTATCAAGGCCTTTGTGCAACATGGTAGGTCATACTCATGTCGTGCCATTCGGTACGCACTGACAAGCCAACAGAAGATATCTCAAACAAGATAGCTCTAGATAGATTCCTTACTTCAGTTCAAAAATTATTCAATGACGAGGAATGGCGTCGAAGAATAGTAGCTGTTGAGGTTGTTGAAATTCTAGTACAGAATGGTAAAGCATCTTCTGTTTTCCGTTCCTCAGTACTGATGGGAGGACAGGATATCTTCAACAGGAGATGCTGAAAGCTGGATATCTGACTGATATCCAGAGAATGTTTGATGACGATGATGACGATGTACGGAAAGCATCTCTGGCCGCTAACACAGCCTTTGTGAAACACGGTCAGTTTATCCACGCCGTCTGCCATTCTGCAGGACGAAACTGCTAACGTTATCGTGACTTTAGGGCAATATACCAATGGTAACTCACTTTTTGTCTTATAGTCCTCAGTACTTGACGAACACACAGAGGAAAACGAACGTGAGCTATTGAAAGAAGCTGGATATTGGGGTGGAATACGGAAGATGCTTAATGATGATGGCGATGATGTGGCTGAATCTGTGGATGCCATCACAAAGTTTTTACAGCACGGTAAGCCTTAGACGGCTGATGTTATCCAATCGACTAAGTATTCTGCAGACCACAGCTCGAGCAACCTCACGGCCAAAGGACCTCTGAATGCCTTACGCACATTGTTTGATAGTGATAATTGGGAGTTAAACACTGCATCTATTAAAGCTTTTGCACATCTGGCGCAACGTGGTAAGGCATCAGAGAGCTTGCCTTTTATTATGGCTAATAAAATGACAGGAAACAATGAACAAAGCAACTTGATAGTTGGATTTCTTCCTGATCTTCGGAAAATGCTTGGCGACAATGACTATGATGTGCGGCGGGAAAGTGTAAAGGCTATCGCAGTCTTGGCAAAGCACAGTATGCTATCTTCTAGGCTCAATACTGTGAGTATATACTAATAGTGAACAGCTAGATGTCAGAACAAATTATTAGAACATGGGTATTTGGCTGTCCTCCAGAATCTGCTCTGCGATAGCAGTTGGAGTGTGCGAGAAGCAACCATAAAAACGATTCTCGAAGTCGCAAGTGACGGTATTATATCATTTAGCTTATGGATTGTGACGCAGCTGATGAGTGGATAGAGAAATGTTGTATCCAGTTGCTGAATGATGGATATTTGGCCGATTTTCATAAAATGCTCCAAGATAATGTTCCGTTCGTACGAGTAGCTTCACTTCAGGCCTTCGGAGCGTTTGCAAAACACGGTAGTGTCATTACTCGCAGCATTTACCAGTGCTAACGCATCCAACAGATAAATGCAGAAAACAGATGATTCAAAGCGTCTTTGATTCCTCCGAGGACTGTCCAGCGATAACGCGTGGGAGACAAGGGAAGGATGCGCTAAAGTGGTCGCTGATATTGCACAGTATAGTAAGGCAAATATTACAATGCGCCTTTCAGTATAACTAAGTGATGGGCAGAGGAGTTCCAAGATGGGCTATATGGATTTCTGGACAAACTCCTGGAAATGGTAATAAGGGATGATGTTGTAGATGTTCAAAAAGCATCCATAGATGCCGTTGTAGCTCTCGCGAAAACTGGTGCGCCCCCATCAGCTTGTGTGATTCCTCACAGTTGACTAGTTGGCAGACCAATTCCAAAACAAGACACTTGAAACCAAAATACTGGATTCACTCCGAGACTCATAAAATCACGACTCATTTCAAATTAGAGTGGGGTGCGCAAAGACGATCGCCGACCTAGCACAATATAGTGAGATAATTATTACGTTTGGCCATTCTGTATAACTGAGGGGTGAGTAGAGGAATTCCGAGACAGGCTACTGGACTCTGGATTTTTGGACAAGCTTCTGATAATGGTAGAGGATCATGATCTGGATGTGCGACAAGCATCCATGGATGGAATTGTAGCATTGGGGAAAAGTGGTAGGGTATCATCAGTATGTATCGCTTAAATACGCTGACAAACAAGCAGAAAAAAAGATATTCCGAAGCAAGACATCTGAAGCCAAAGTCCTGAATTCGCTTCGAATGTTATCTGGTCATGACTTATGGCAGCTGAGAGAAGGATGTGCAAAAACTATCACAAATTTAGCACGGGACATTAGTAAGGCATTCTATAAAACTGCCTATTCGGAATAACTGATATATGGGATAGAGGGGTCCCGAGACAAGCTGTTGGATGCTGGATTTCTGAATATCCACCTAACAATGGCTGGGGATGATGACTCAGATGTACAACAGGCATCTATAGATGCAATCATAATCTTTGTAAAAAATGGTAGGTCTCAACTTGTGCGGTACTACACGATGAAGTTCATTCTATAAAAGAAAATACGATCAAAACAAGCATTAAACCGTTCGCTTCTTTGCGCATAATTCTCGGTAACGATTAGATCAAAAAAGGAGTGTGTTAGAATTTTTACGAGATTAGTGGAGCAGCGTAAGGCAGCTATCATTTTTGTCTTCCGGTTAAGCTGACAACTTGACAGCGGACTGTGCATGGAACATCTTGGAAGCTGGATATCTTCCCGATCTGCAGAAAATGCTTATCGACGACGACGATGATCTACGACGTCAATTTGCGAATGCTATGTTATCCTTTGCGGGACATGGTACGCCATCGTTATGCTCGCGGAATTTGTGGTGGTTAACTACGTAACAGAGCAATGCCTGAACAAATTAATAGGATCTGGGTACTTAGCTGATCTGCAGAAGATGTTCCGTGATCGTTTTTGGATCATACGTAAAACATCTGTAATAGCTGTTATCAAAGTTATACAATGCAGTAAACAATTCCCTTGCTTATAGTCTTCTGCAGAGCTAACGCATCAACAGAGAAATACCTGAGCAAGGTGCTAGAATCTGGATATTTGATTGATTTTCAGAACATGTTTGACGATGAAGATGAGGAAGTAAGAGAGGCTGCTGTGGAGGCAATCGAAGCTTTGGTATCCAATGGTACTAGTTGGTCTTTTGAACCTCTCACACTAGTTTGCATAGCTAATACTTCAACAGATGAATGCCGAAGAAAAATGATGGACTTTGGATACATGGTCGATCTTCAAAGCATGTTATTTGATGACTATTCAGATGTAAGGAAAGTAGCTCAAAGGGCACTCGAAGCTTTTTCGCAGAAGAAAAGTTCCTGATGTTTAGTGTCTCCTGCCACAATGGTATATGATTCACCTATAGTTCCAGTAGATCGACATCGCCGGCCTTAGTCCCCAACATTTTGTTCCCATCATCCTATATAGTCATCCTATATCTAATGCAAACATTTCGACTAGGGGTACATTTGCAGAAGGTTTGAGTCGGACAGAAAATATCTTGCATAGATGAGGGGGGTTCAGGATGTTGAACGATAGGTGAATTCGTTGGGGCACTGAGCGGATGATGGAGATGAAAGTGGCACAAACAGGCAATGAATTTCCGAACCGTAGGTCAAGCACTTGGAGATTTGAAAGCATCGGCTTATCGTCTGGATAATCGAAGCCCTGGTATGTAGCCATTTGGGAAGAAGGGACACGAAAAGTGAGAGACCTCAAGGAGTTTAAACCCGCAAGGTGACATATGGCTTTCTCGTTTAAGAAGTTGCAATTCAGTTCTTCCAAATGGTCCCAGCAGCATACTGCCCCTGAAAGGGCATCCACCGCACTTGGCGAGTCAGCGATGAGCCCAAAGGATGCAGTTTTAATAAAGGGGCACGTGTTTCCTAAGTTCATAAAAAGAGACAGTTGTGGTGGTTCAGCACGTTCCATCCCTAGGTCGATATGAACGAGTTTTTGTCCAAACAGCAAGCAAACAAAGTGAAGCACTTCATCCGAGATTTTACTGTTATCACTACCACGAACGATAACCCGTTGCAGGTGGGGAAACAAGGGAGAAGAGGTTGGAAGGAAGCTCAATGCCCGATAGACGTCTGGTGCGCGCGAGTCGCCGATATCGAACTCGAATGTCCGGACACGGCGTGTATATCGTTGAAATATCGACCAGTCTTCCGGAAGCATGGGCCTTTGAAGGTGCTGCAGCACGACAATAAAATCTTGATTTTTTTTTAAATCAGTGTACACTTGGCTAGATAGGCTTACTAGAGATACACCATCTTGTTTCCAAAGGTCCTCCAGAAGACACTTGATTAGTGGTACCACGCTGTTTAGTAATAAAACTAAGTGAAACTCAGCCGCTGCCCGAGAGGCTATAGAAACGACTTTATTATTTACCTAAGTGAAACTACAATAGATGTTAGTTCAAGGTGATCTCTAATAAATGTAATGTAACATACCTCAGCCGCTGCCCGAGAGGCTATAGAAACGACTGAGGTATTCCTATACTAAACCCCCCACTACTTATAGTCAGAGGTGCTACTCGCTACAGTATAATGACTCCTAGGAGTAGAATTGTGCTCCTAGGAGAACAATGGCTGCTTTGGCAGAGACCAGGTTTATCCGGTTTTGTCATTTAGATCAGCCCAGAGGACGTCCAGCGCCAGGTCGCTGAAGAATTGACAAGTCCTGGCAAGTCTGACGAGTGTAGCAGGCGTAGTAGCATTGATGTACTTTTTAAAGCTCGTCCCCTGATGCTCAGTATGGAGAGCATGGTAAAAAATCCTCAAAAGGATGTCAGGGATGAGTAGGCACTTGTGCATTTGCAGCGATCTCATGCGCGATGTAAAGCAACATTAACATTTCACCATCAGCTAAATAAGCATATCTCTGGATCGATAAGCGCTCATGATAGGTATACTTGGGAGGCAGCTAAATTTGGAAAACGGACTGATGAATATTTGTATTATGACTGCGGGGCATCCACTACCAATACATAGTACTGGGCAAAAGTCCCAGCTGGTTATTGCGAATCAGTCTAATTTTCTTTATCTTCCGAGTCTCCTAAAGTCATATCATCAAAGTCTTCCAAAAGCTCGTCCAGCTTAACTTCAGGGAAATCAGGCTCTTCTTCGCCAGCTTCCTTATCCTCGTCATCCCCACCCATCGATGGGGCATCCATACCCTCATCCACATCCATTCCATATTGTCCCTTTCTCGTCGTCTTATCTCCACTGCCTACTTCTCGCATCTTCACGTCCTTTGCCTTGTAAAGATTCACCGCCCCACGCATCTCTGGATCCTCCTCTAGATCCCTCAAGAACAATTCATAATCCTCGTCAACTTTCTTGTTGTCCCGTCCGCCCATCCGACCAACGACACCTCTACCGCCACCTGTCTCACCTTCTTCGCCAGCCTCCTTTGCGATACTCCTGAGCTTCCAGTTACGCGCCTTGCTCTTCTTACGACGATTGGGGTATGCCTTCTTCACGAGGATAATATCAGGAATGCGAGATGAAGGCAGTGAAGAGAAGTCATCTGAATTGAAATTCGCGTTGCTGAGGTGATATCCCAAAGCAGTATCACCAGGCTGGAGAATGGCACCAAGATGTGTGCGAGTATGGTATATCTGATTTGATATTGCGGAATTTTCGTAGTCCATGCCATCGTCGTCAGCGTGTGTCCCACTCGAACGGAACGCGCCGGACATGGCTACTTGTGCGTCAGCCAGGACCCACTTGCCTCTGACAGACCCTGAAGGTTCGATATCCAGGATGGTGAATTCGACTAGATCTGTCACCTGGGCGAGAGAGTCGAATGGAACACGCCAATACACCTGGGCTGAGATCTCGCATGTTTGCAAGGTAGAAACGTCGAGCAGTTGGAATGAGCTGCCAACACGAGTGCATATCGTTAATGGACTAATGTTGCTCAGCTGACGTGCCTGTTTTAAAGGTATGCACACAAGATCGTCCTTGCAAACCGGAACGATTTCCACAGAATATGTAAATTTGTAGCTTGCAGTGCCAGAATGAGTATCGGTCGAAAGAAGTTGCTCTGATCCCTTTGACCTTTAACGAGACACGATAGTTAGTACATAGAACGACAAAAGAGAAGACAAACGTACCGTACGGGCACAACTCCAGCCAAGAACTCCACCATCTTGATTGCGTGGTTTCTTTGACTGTAGAAGAAATCCAATCCATCCTTCACCTCTTTTACTGAGATAGTGTCTTTTTGGGCACCGTGTTTGATGATCAGTTGCTCCAGGAATAGAAAAGTTCGTTTGTGTGGAACCTTTTGTCGCACCTGCACGAGTGCCTTCCACGTATTTTTTGCGGCAAGCTTGGCACAATCTGGACATTGACCATGTTGAACGAGATATTCAATTTCAAATACCTGCTCCAATATCGTTGAGGTTAAAACCTGATAAATGACACCGCGCCATCTGGATGAGATGCCATCTTGCAAACAAAGAATATTATGGTCACGTACCTCCTTTTGTACGGTTAAAGATACACGTAATCGCTTTGAATGTGGCTCTGTCCAGATAAAATGGGCCTCTGTCAGTCGAACTTTGTTCAACCCTTTGAGTTTTTTGAGACAGATGGCAAGAAGTTCTTGCGATTCTGGTCGAGCGAGAGACCATGATTGTGGGGGAGATAGGAAGCGCTCGCAATTTCGGCAAAATGATACAGATGCTATCTCGACGCGATCACCGTCAATAAAACTTGGATCACCATGATTCAGCGTACGCACATTGTTTAGGGATTCCCTCCGTTATATCGACGCTATATGTTTCGTATAAAATTTAAACTAGGCTCAGCGATTAACAGATGAAGTACCTACGTGTTCCTAAGGCATGCTACACAAAGATTAGCAGAATTGGGCACGATAGGCGTTCCTTTAAGCAAACTCGGATCAGTAAAGTTGACGATATGTAGAATCATTCAGATCTTACCGCAATCTGCGCATAATACACGATGCACGGCGGGTGCTGGTACAAATTCCATGGCTTCCAACTATTCACAAATACAGATCGTGTAAGTTGCAGAATAAAGATAAGGATCCGAGAGACGATAGCCCTCTTGATGGTCCAACTTGAGGCCTTTTGGTCTGAGATGAGTTCTACCAGAAATTTATTTGAGCGATTTAGTCAGCGATAACATTTCTGCCGGTCCCGAACCACGTGAGGTTGTTATCTGATTAGATGAGATGAGTGAAACTGTCACGGCATTACATGTGTAACATTTATGTCACTCCGCTGTGACCAGCTCCATTCCAAAGTTACTTCGACGCGTCCAGAACTTCCCTTCAAATCTAGCAAACCGTGACGAACAACGCTGAGCCTGGAGCGCATGAACTGTGCGCATTGTATAACAACAGGAGTGATAGTTGCTCGAATGGTGTGTGTATGTATGGTCGACTACTTACTATATTATCACCCACCTTTCTCTCCCTACAATGTTTCTACCGTAACAGACACGAAGCCAGTTCACTTGGAGGGCGCATTTGCATGCATTTGCATTGTCAGCCTACCTATGTTCTACTAATGATATTCGAACATGCGTTCCAATCCTCTCGCACGTTGCGATTTCATATGCCTGCGAGCGAACCTCGACCAGAGGTATACGAAACTCAATGGAAGGATACTAGGATTGACGAATTAATGACACCTACTCTCTTTCCGTACGCAATTGCTGCAGTATGCACAAGATGGCGAGAAATCATGTCGACAGTTCCAGAGTTCTGGACGCGTGTCGTTATTATCGCCGTTCCTCATGTAGGCTCGGAAACATTTCAGTCGCCAACCCATGCGCACTCGTATTTTGAGTGGTCACGCGATCTCATTTTGGACGTCACTATCATTGATACCAGCGCGAGGGGGTTACCTCTGGAGGAGAACCTGATGACACATCAGGACTCGAGAAAGCTGGTGTAGCTGCAGGATCCAAGTGTCTTGTTCTCCATATTAAGAGGTGCAAAACAATCAGGTATTCCGTTGATAAAAGCTCTTCTCTTCCATACCTTGTCAAGCATTTATTTGGTGTCGCGTCGAAGCTCTCGAACCTTCATCTCGACTGTAGAGTTGACAACGGAGGTGACGCTATAAAACCGACGAAAGCTGAGGTCGCAGAGCGCAAGTCTTGGCCCTTCATAGCTCCTGATCTCTATGAGCTCAAGATCAGTGGACCAAGCTTTCGTGATTTATGTGTAGCGAGGTCTTCATGGTTGGGTGTGTCGAAGTGCCTTCGATATCTTGTCATTTCACATTATCGACCGTCATCATGGAATGGGGACCTTAGCTTCTCCATGTACAACATAGTCAACGTCGTGGCGCAGGTTGATTCGCTCCACTCACTGACGCTCACGGACGTCGAACTTGACCCCATTCGCAGTGTTAGGAAGAATTACGCGTTCGAACGTCCAAACTTTAGTTCGATTATCTTCGAGGACGTCGGAGTCAAGGTTCTGAATGACTTCTTCCGCCTGTCTAAAGAAAATTACTTCGAGTTCATCGCGATCGTTCGTAGTCAGGTTGACTCACTGAGAAGGATGGCACCATCACACAGTCTTTTGCTAAAGGACCTCATTGGAGAAGACTGAGGGCAATCGCGACATGAGGTAGTTGTACGAGTTACCGAGAACGTTATAAACAGAGCCCAAGTAGTAGCCAAACGCAGCTAATAAGTATTATTTGCAAGCCACAATAAAAGTACTAAAGGAAAGACAGGGAACTCACTATTTCCTATGGCATCCAAAGTAACACAAGAGAGCGAGGAAAATATGCCAGGCACCACATAGGCTGGTCTTCAGCGCCTTTCATAGCAATCCTTTTCGTCCACCCCACTTGACGGACGACTGCTCAACAAGCAAAGCACAAAGGTTTCGTTCCAATTTTCGTGAATACATTCTCCGGGAGATAATCGAGAGTGTTCTTCGTAACGAACAATGCTCGGCATCGCTTCTGAAATATGGACACAAATACCTTCGACTCTAGACAACCAAAATTGAGGGTGAGGTGACTTTCTTGTCTCTTGTGATCCTCCTACCAATGAAAACCGAACCCGAGACAATGTCAGGTCAATGTCAAAAATCGAGGGAGCGACCGACGCGTCTTACCTTCTGCCCAAACAAGACCAGTGGCCCATTCACCATATTTCGGGAAATGATATCCCGAGGTCTGGAAGATGTATTGAAGGGCCTTGGGGTTCAAAATGGTCAGTCCAAAATGGAAATGGTAGTATGGTGAGGAGCATCTATGGACAGAGTCAATATTCGTGAGTCATTGATCTGGAACTGCTCCGAGATGATATAATCCATATGAGAAATATTCATTCTCGTGACGCCTTCAAACATCCTGTGAATATCTGATGTCTCATTACTACCTGCCAACCTCGATAAACCCAGACCAATATTTGATTGATCGCCAGTACTATTTGAAGCCCAAGACAAGACGCAAGACGCAAGCTGTTTCTGAGACAAACCAAACCACTTTCCATTTAAGTGTGTATGCAAAGCCACCTCGTAGAATGGTGAAGACGATATAAAAATATCAAAAGAAGCTTTGCGAAGAGAAAGGGAATAATAAATACGCGTGTTATAAAGTTACTGGAGCAGCTAAAAGGCCTAGAGAGACAATGATATGGTATGTCTAATGAAACAATGGAAAGGTTTGAGCGACCAAGAAATGAACACGAATTTTAGAAAAACGATAGCACGGACATGATGATGTACAGAGGTTGGATGAAATTTGGGGATGAGGCTTTGACCTGTTCGGCGATAAATGACGAAATGCTGCGATGTGTTTCTTATAAGACTTCTCCATTCCGTAGTTCTCCCCTCAACGACGTTTGCGACCACTCAATCGTGCCTACTGAATTCCTCCTGTGTCAAGTTCAAGACGAAGGTTGTCTTGAAATTCTTCGGTGGCTCAATGAGTTTTACTGGCTTGGCCGAGACACTGGATTTCAAAGGCTGTGAGATAGAAGCGAAAGGACGGAGAGGCTGTGAGCTGGGGAATTTGTGTGTACGAGTTGGCATAACCCTCGACTGCGCATTGATAGGGTTGCGGGCAGAGGGAGCAAGTGGTGAAGACACGTATGAACCAGGACGGAAGGTCTGGAATGGCGCGGAGACTGCAGACATTGTGATAGTAGCTGTGGAAAGTAGTGTGAGCGAGGATGGAGGATGCTGAAGATATAGAGGAAAGAGACGCCTAGAACGTGTGCTCACCCATTAAACTTTGTACACAAGGAAAAGGGCACGGAACAAAGTTTATGAAGAGGCAAGGGCGCGAAGGATATGAACTGAGAAAGGAAGAGAAAGGTAAGAAAGACAGTGAGGATGCCCAGTCGCAGACGGACAGTCGTTTGTAGATTAGTTTATATAGTCGGTCGATGCGCCCAACAATCCTCTGGGGTACTTGAGATGCAGGGGAGAGTCTACCACCAAACATCGTCACTTACATAGTCTTGGGGTTTCGGCATTCTCGGCACTCTATCGCCGTATCTCACAAACATGTCCAAATATCTGATGGCGCATCATTTCCATCTGCTCCCTTTCCGTATCCCAGTCCACAGCATACACAAGGCTGTCCGCTCCAGCTTATCGTACACCTAGCATCTGGCCCGTGTTCTCCCCAGCACACATCATTACGCTCTTCGTGTCAGCCAGAGACGCGTCTTATCGCGCATATAACCATGCGGTGTTTGGTGGAAGTTTGACGAAGAGTCCAACCCCAACCGTTTGACTACCTTCACGTCATACTAAATTTCTGTTTCGGCCAATCGGGCACACCCGGACTCCGGCTTCTCAGCCACCTATCCACTCTCCCAGCAGCCTCCACGCTGAACAATGATCATGTCCAGATGCCTCTACCAGGTACCGCAGTAACCAGGCGTGAAGTCAGCAGGTAAGCTCGCCGTCATCAAAGCATCATTGCAGCATCACCTTGGGCTATTTGCAAAGAGCACACCTTATAAAGGCTTCCAACGCTTTATATGCGGGCTGTAGGTTCATTCACACCCCGTGCGCTCCGTGTCTTTGGTGAGAGAATCCGCAGTTTCCACATTCACACACGGAGAACCGTTTCGACGGGATGAAATTAACCCCACAACTTGAACTAAGCTTAACTCCATGGCGGTGTCATTACTCACCGCACAAGTTTTATGTTTATTTGGTTTCTGCCTGTAAGTCGTGTTCTTTTGGCTGACTAGCATTGCCCCCCATGACCCCCACGGACAAGGTACTCATTCCCCAATCCCTCGGCCTTACCATGCATTGGGGATCTTTCTATACTACAGATGAGCGACTTGCCCTGCTTCGGAGTTCTCTCTTGACATTTCGGTAAAGGTCAGCCTCAGCATAGAACAGCCATTTGAGGATGCAACCAGTCTAGCCTCGCGCATCTCGGCGAACTGGAACTTGTGGTTAATGCCTGTCTTTATCTCGAGCCGATTGCTGTCCTCGTCTTCCCGCATTCGGAAGTGGAAGATTCTCAATCTCTACCATTCGGAACCCACATGTAAATGTTACTACCAATAGTCTATATCTTTGTAATCATTTTTGATCCTCTTGATCAAAGTCTATCATCTGCGCAATCGCACATATCGGTGCCTGACTAGGCCCCTCCTGTCATAACTTACTACTACAGCACTGGCTCCCATCAGGCAGGTCAGCATATCAAGATATCAGGGCCTCCCTTGGCGACTGGGCACAAGATGCATTGCCTACAGCTCGAGGCAATGACAGTGCTATTGTGAAAGCGACCACTCAGCAAGGCAAATCATGATATTAAACGTATTTCCATTTAATTCCATGCGAAAGTACAACATAACAACTGCAGCGCGACTAAAGCCCTGCAAGCAAAGCGACCAAAACTACCAATGCAACTGGCCGTCCCCATCAACCAACCAGCACCGAGCTAGCTCAGCGAGTATATCAAGATTTTTAAAACCATAGGGGTGTGACAGTGAAAAGTAGATGCCGTTCCCTAGCTCCCTAATCCAGATGCAAGCATTGGGATTCGAGAGAACGCCCAGGCGTCAGAACGGAGGGGGTAGAAGATGTGAGAATATATCCTATGTGCTGGGAATAATGATAAAGTGTAAGTGAAATAAGCAATAAAGAGCTCCCATGATCAGAGCCTAGGGGCATCCATGGCGACGGTCACCAACGGGGCAAAGTGACCGATGTTGGTTTGGGAGAGGGTACTCTACTTAAATAGAGTCCCAGACCCAAGTCATGCCATCGATACGACCGATTGACTGGTCAGCCAACTGGCTGAAAGCAGATGGTGAGAAGTCCAGATCAGTGATGGCGCAGCCAGTGCAGCGGTCAGTGATGGTGACCGTGACACTTTTGCCTTGGTCTATTTAAAACGACTTTAGAAATTTTTTCAAAAGCAGAGAGTGAAGCATTGAACGTACAATTCGCCGTCACCTTCTGGTTGCAAACGGGGTTGTCGTTGGGATTGACACCGTTATAGCCGCTGGAAAATGTCCAAAGTTGAGAAAAACGCTCATACATCAACCATTGATGTACTCACGGGAAAACATCAAAGAGCAGATGTGATACAGCGGCAATATAATCGGTATCAGTGTTGGTGATTCCACAAGCACCAAGACCCGTCGCGTAGTATGTACCTACCCAACGCAGATATAGTGAGATACCGAACAATAAGGATCAAATAAAATGATGTACCTTCACCAGTCTGGGTACCAATCAGGAAGCTAGGCTCACCCGCAGAGGTCTGAACGGGAGCAGCGCTGCTGGTAGGAGTGGCGGTGGTTGCAGGAGGAGGAGGAGTTGAGGTCGTCGTAGGGGGAGGAGGTGCGGGCGTGCTCGTCGTCTGGGGAGCAGGAGCTGGCGACGAAGTGGGCTGAGCAACTGGCGACGATGTGGTAGGAGCAGCAACGGATGATGATGAAGAGGCGATGCTCGGTGAAGGTGCAACGTTAATGGGTGCAACGCTGGACGAAGGAGCAGGGGAAGCACTGGTAGAACTCGAGCTTGAGCTTGAGCTTGAACGAGCTACGCAGCGCTTGTTCAGCGAACGTTTGCGTCTGCCCGACGAAGAGGCCTGGGCCGGGATGGCGATCGCCTGGTCAACAACTGGTGCGGGGCTCTGAGCGTGAGCTGCGACAGCACGGTGGTGGTTGAACGCGTTGCGGGAGAAATGAGGGGTGGTAAGAGCGGTCGCGGAAAGCGCGAGGTAGAACAAGACAAGGCACTTCTTGAAAGACGACATTGTTAAGCGAGGGATGTATTGACAAGTGAGAGGCTTTAAAGAGGGAGGGCGCTTTCTCGTTGAACTCTTGAATAAAGACTGACAGAGGCTTTATATAAAAGAGAAAAGAAGCCGGAAAGAGGAAGGGGGGGGGACTCGATGAAGACGGAAAGGAAGAGAAAGAAGAGGATTGTGGCGACTCGACAACAATCAGCGATTAAAAAGGTTGGACACCGTGAGGCAACTATTTCCAGGGTGCCTGCCGAGCTTAGTCAGCTTACATACCCGGCCAAACTCGTCCGTGATCAAAGGTCAGTTTGCAGGCCGACCCAGCGGCTGTTCTTCGCCCATTATTCTCAACGTGGCCCATACAAACACGTTTAGGGTGCCCGCGGGTTTCAGATGCCAGCAACACAGCATTAGCCACATAGGATGTCGACGAGGTATGGGCAAAGCCTTTGTACATTGATGACTGCGCATTTCTAAGGTGACCGTGTATACTGGCGTGTATAATCGATCTGGTGGTACAGACTTCCAAAGAATTCCAACTACTGCGACGGGATTTTCATCAGCTACATGCTGACGCCATCCATTGCATTGCGCCAGCATTTACCAATTGGCGTCATGAGTGTTGCTTAGTGGCAGAAATATGTACTGGGGAGAAGGGGGATATCTTGATACCGCGGATTCCAGTAGTTCCCAGGTGCTGATAGAGTTTCTGAGCCTCCTTGATTCTGCAAACAAAAATAGAAGAGTCGACGTTCAGCTTCAGGTGTCATCGTAGAATGTCGAAGCACAGCAAAACGTCCACTGAATAGGTATACAGTTACCATGATATGTGATAAGAGTCGATAGACACCGTGGGCAAGAGCCATGACTGAGTGTCCCGAGTACTGGTGTAAGGTTTCGAGGATTCGGAAGCGTAATTCATAAGCTTAACCATGTAAATTTGCGGTACCAGTTTAGGAGGAGCCGCAGGAAAATCAGGCAGACTGGTAATATGAAATGAAGTATTCGTGATGAGATCGCCACAGCACATCACTTTAAGATTTAAGACTATTTCGACCACGGAGGACGTCCAATATGATGTTTCGTCGTGAGTATGCATGCGGCATCTTACCATCCAAATGATTTAGCGAAGTAGACGGCTTTCATGAGTGGTCGTAGAGCGCACACATGACGAAAATGACGAATCGTGGTCTACTGCAATAATGGGGTGACGGTGAGCTGCGGAACAGGAACCCAAGGATGAAAAGAAAACGACTTTTGCAGGAGGCCTAGGTCACTGTACCACGCCCATGACTCACAGATGTCTGAGAAATAGCGAAATGTGATTGGCGGGAAACTGGAAGAACGGAAGGTCTTCCTTGTCGGACACGGATGTCTCGTCCACGGGTATGTTTGGGGTAGATGATCTAATCTACGGACCTCGGACAGGTGAGCTTTGTGCGGTCCCTTGGTTTTGTTTTAATTTTGCCATTAGAATTGAACACGTTTAAGCAGGGAGTTAACGAGGCACGTACCATTTCGATTAAAATATACATTGAACCCTTAGCAGCTCGTATGTCCTGTAACATATTTCAGGAATTCAAGTCAACGTCGCGTTCTGGGGGGTGACTAATGTAGCTGAACCACTGGAATGATCCATCAGAAAGCTACAGGTCCTGAATCCACACCTTTTGGCATGAACTTGACAGTGACACCAAGCCTGGCGCTCCGAGCCTGGATCTGTCAGGGAGACAGACACCTTGCATAGGGCAGTATTGCTTAGTAACCGTGCCCATGGGATCATTAGATCCTGGCTAGGGTATCTAAGAGTTACTTATATCAAGGGTGTTGATTCCCATCGTGTGCGAGTGAGCTATATGGAGGTTCAGCTTTTTTAGGAACACAAAGTAAACTGTTTCAAGATGCTTTCGCGCACAGCGAGGCTGATGCCTTTGTATGTTTTTCTTTGTTTGATATCCAAACACGCGTCCATCTTGATGAATCCGCAGTCCGCCAGTTTTACACAGATCCCAATCATTACTCATTAATCATTCCCTGTTCAGGCCAAGTTGAACGAAAATTATTAGTTTGGAAGTTTGCTGATGAGCTATTCTGCCTTTGTGAGTGTAACCGTGGCAAAGTCGGAAAAAGATGGTGGAGCGAGGTCACTTGGTGAGCGTCTTCTCCAGCTACCTTTAGTCCAAAACGCTTGGTGTTCTCAAGTCGCTAGTTTCAATCCATGTAGTATACTGAAGCTTGAAGTTCGACAGGCTAACGATGTTGTTCCATAGCCAGTGCTTAACTAGGGCATGTGGTTTCATCCGAGCTTGTGTCCCTGTACAGCAGACTCCGATGTCAGGTCCCTCAGGGCGCATCAGCCAACAGCCGAACGTCGTTACAAATCGCATTTCAAGCATTTCTAGTTGCCTCTGATGAAGTTGTCTCTATCTCTATGAAGGCTTTCAAGTCGTTTGAACCACGTGGTAAAACCCCTCTGAAGTGGTCACGGTACTGTTGCGGGATATCTCCGACAAAGCCCCGATAAACCTGCTTGATCTCTTATTTTTTGGCCTTTCGCACCCATCGTTCGTATCGGGCTTCCGACAATGAGATAGAGAGAAACCATATATATATCTACAAATGTAACGGAAGTGCAAGAATCTTCGTACGAACCTCTATCTCATCGACCCCTTTCATTTGAACGCAATCTCTAGCAGCAGTATGTCTGACTTCACAGGAACTTGGTTTATCACAGGGTGAGCTTTACGTCGTTTCGTTATCTGTTGTATATTCTAGAGATTGATTCGCTGTGTCCGACGATAGTGCTTCCCGTGGCATTGGCTTGGAAATGACGAAACAACTCTTAACCTCTCCTACTACCACCGTTTTTGCGACATGTCGCTCCCCAGCTACTGCTACTGGTCTGCATGCACTGAAATCGTCTGCTGGGGTAAAGGGAACACTGCATATAGTCCAACTTGACGTTGCAGACGCGGCATCCATAGAAAGCGGCGCGAAGGAAGTATTGAAGTTATTGAATGGCAAGGGCCTCGACTATGTGTTCAACAATGCCGGAATCGTATGTTCTCTTGTTTCATTCATTTCGCTCAATGAAGTAGATGGTCGTATAAATAGAATCTCGGAGCAGATTTCGCATTCAATTTTTCACCTGAAGACCTGCTGAAAAGTATAACGTCAAATGTCATTGGCCCTGCACTTATCTCGCGTGCTTTATATCCTGCTATTGAGAAGAGCACTCGGAAAGTCGTTGTAAATATGACGAGCGGATTGGCTAGCATCCAGAGTAACCATGGGCCCAAGGCCACGAGCTACAGCATCAGTAAATGTGCTCTCAATATGCTGGTACGTACCCGCTTTCTCTTTACTTAGTTCCAGTAGGCTGACATCTACGGACAGACTTATAAGCAAGCGCGAGAAAAACCAGATCTGATCCCTTTCGTTGTTGATCCTGGATGGGTCAAGACTGAGATGGGAGGTCCTGGTGCGATGCTGGAGCCTCATGAATCTGTATCTGGGATATTGAAGCATGTATCGGGTGCTACGCCTGATTGTGCTGGAAAGTTCTTTGGCTATCGGGGGAACGAGATTCCTTGGTGAATACAATGAGTTACGGAGATGTACGTTGGGCATATACACAGCCTGGCAATACTGTCCTCCGTCATATCCCAGACCAATCATATCATCAAGTCCACATCATGATAGCTCCTTGACACTGTCCTGCCCTCGTACGCATACAGCTTGATACAATGGTTGATTTTCTACTTCATATGATCTATGTAGTGTACCCTGACGAGGGGGAGTTTGTATGATAATACATTTATTAAATACTTCCCCAAGCTCACCTCAACCTCAAGGCAGTGCGGACATATCTGAGCGCGTGCTGGTTAGCCACATTGCACGTGAGGTTGAGGTGTTCTCACTCAACATTGTACTCAACAATTCCCAAACAAACATCGAGTGCCAGTGGTGCTTACCACATGGGTAAGCTGGAACAGCGGCGTGATACTTGTCATGAGTGGTCTGGGCACTGCAATCCCAGAAGTCCCAGTCAGATGCTTTCTGGACAATGCAACCTCTCAATTGAAAGATAAGGTATCAATGTTGCTAATGTACAGTGGTCATTTGGTTACGGTTCGATTTTGGACACCGATATTAAACTCAGTCAATTTTTGTTCGAAGGCCGATAAACTGTAAAGGATTATTTTGTAGATATGCAAATAATGATTAATGATCACCGACAGCTTAATTAAGATTGTGAATTGATCACGAGCATCTTGACAGGATTGAGAGCCAAACAAAAATATATTGTCATATACACACTTTCAGGACATATAGAGATACATGACAGCTCAAGACCCGTAATCAATAATGTGTGATATTGAGAGATCAAGTTTCAATCAAAGAATGGAGTGTGGGGAGGGGCATGCAAAGTTCAACATGTATTCCAAGAAAAAAACTGCTCAACGACAAACACTGTGGGGATCGACTTATAATAGCTAGACTTGCAGTGTGATCTTACAGTGATTTATTTGTAAAAATATACCAATTATATCTAAGGAAAATATGAAGCAAAATTTTAAAATATAATCTCTAATATCATTTGCCTGTCCTCACAGCTTTGAGTCTGGAATTTTCAGTAAAATCATTGTACTACTGTCTCATATGTTATATAGAAAATATTTACAAAATGATCATGCTCAAGGCAGGCAACATAAATAGAATAACCGGTAGATAATATTTATAAAATTATCCAAGGATCCACTCTAAGTTGCATTATCATTGATCCTAAGCATTTGTTATGAAACATATCAAACTCGTATCTTCCTTATATTCAACCCTTATCCTGCCAGCTGAGTTATTCCAAATCTTATCTAAATGTTTGTTGTCATTACACCATCATCATGATGCCCAGTGAAAAGCTATCTAGAAATATGGAAAAAGCTTGAAATAATGTAAACATGTAAATATATAGACAAACGACAACATATCATGGAAATTAGTGATCAAGTGACTCATTGGCATGTAAGGAATGCTGCATAAGATCCATAATCAAGATTGGTGTTGCACATAATATATTGATTGTCGCTTTCTTGCTTTCTTGCATATTTTTATAGACTCAAACAGATATTTAGAGTATCAGTCATTAGCTATATGCGTCATCATACCAGTATACTGTTATATATACCACCAATGGTTCTACCGTCACCCTGTTCCTTACCATCACCTCAAATCTTCACATTGACTCCCTCATCCCAGCTTTGATGGTTCCCAAATGCCAAACCACAAGCAGCTGTGGTGAGGTGTCCTCACATACACCACTGGTACCAATTATTCCCCCACTACTGAAACCACCTAGCAAATGAATAGTGCCAACAAAGGCTTTCACACCAATGTCAACTTTTGATGTAACAACCAAGAGTTAGTTACTCTGGCGCACACAGGAACACACTATAAAGGTAGTGGAAGATGGGGAGTGGGTACCCCTTGGGCTGCAGTGAGTTAGTTGGTATACAACAGGAGGACTCGCTGAGGAGTCTCCTGGATCTATTGTGGTTTATATACTACTACAGTTTGTTTGTACATGTGTACTATACAGTTGATGAAGGCAGTGGCTGATGATGTCATAGGGCCTAGCCCGTATGGCCAGCTCCACTGCGTGAGAGAGTTTAAGTCTAAAAGTAAAAGAAAGGCAACGCGGCGCGAGAAAGGGAAATGCCGCGTGGCAATTTAAAGTATAAAGTTAAAACGGAGAATAAAAGGAAAGGAGATGTCCGGAAATTGTGTTATCGTAACATTTGATCCCCCAAGCAATTATTTCTGATCAATTTTTACAGGAATTTCTGTGCTATCAAATAGTGTGCAAACAATCCAGCTTAATGGCACCAGTGACAATTCATGCAGTATTGGAACAAATTGGCAGTGTACGGAAAACAGGTTTGTTTGTTCTCTCTCTAGCCTAAAATTGTTCTGATTTTATTCCAGGTTTATACAGAGAGGTCAGAATAAAAGGTACACATATTGATTTACTATCTACATTTTGTTTACTGACTATACATCTAGAAACTAGCAGCTTCCATGGTGGATTGAAGAGATTCCTGGTGTTACATTTTCAGGCATTATTTTCGAGTTTTTTTGCAGTACTTGTTACGATAACACAATTTTCGGACCTTTCCTTCATTTTCATTCTCCGCTTTAACCTTGTATACTTTAGCTTTCACACATGGTGCGCGGCACTTCCCCTTTTGTTCAAACTCCTCTTTCTCGCGCCGCATTGCCTTCTTCTTATTTTAGATACAACTCTCTCACACAGTGGAGCTGGTCATGCGGGCTAGACCCCATGACATCATCAGCCACTGACTTTATCAACTGTACAGTACATAAGTACAAACACTCTGTATTAGTATATATACCCCAATAGATCCAGGAGACTCCTTAGCGAGTCCTCCTGTTGTTAACCAACAAACTCTCTGCAGCCTAAGGGGTAATCACTCCCCATCCACTACCTTTATAGTGTGTTCCTGTGTGCGCCAGAGTAACTAACTCTTGGTTGTTACATTAGGACTCGCTCCTCTACTCTCTCGCACATTGTGCAAAAGTCCCACTGGGCACCCGGACTCCAGGGTGAAGGAGATTTGGTTATTGGTTGGCAATATCCTGCATAGCAGATAGGTGCGCTCCTAGCGACGGCCTTGTAGTGCTTTGGGAGAAGAACCAATACCTTCAATATGCGGCCCCCAGCGTTAAGGGGAGTATTTAGCTCAGCAGTCGGTGTGGAACCACTGTTGATTAGAATTTACATACAAAACTCCACTTTCTCTTTCCTCTGACCAGGCCGGGCACTTGCCTCCGCCAGTCTGGAGAAGGGTTGACAGCTTAACAAGCGGACCACCCCCTGACAACCGTTCGGACCAGGGTTTCATACAAATACTTTATATATACAATTTCAAATACTATAGTGTGGGTAGTCGGAGATTGAGATCCGATACTCAGCTGGGAAGAGGTTGATCCGCAGATAGCAAGTGGGGACCCCCAGTTACCTTTTTTTTTACATTACCAAAGAGAATAAGTTGACATGTTGTCGCAACCGGATATCAACAGTCTGCTGCACAACATGCGTGCGCAGATTCAGGCATTAACTATGCAACTCGCTGAGCTACAGGCAAACCCCCCTGCAGCAACCCCCTTGGTAGAGAAAAAGTTCAATAAGAAAGTCAAAGTCGTCACTGACCCTGGCACCTTCGAGGGAGACAGAGCGCAATTTGCCGAATGGTGGATCAAACTCCAGATTTGGGTTAAGGCAAACTGGGACGCATTTGCCGATGACTTTGAGGTAGCCACTGCGGTGCTATCTCAACTAAAAGGACCTGTGGCGGGTTGATACACCCAAGTAAGACTTCAGGAGTGCTACACCGCAGGAGTGTGGCCCACCTGGGACAATCTCAAAGTAGAGATCGAAAAATATTTCAAGCCGCAAGCTGAGCATGACTGGGCGCGTCAGCAAATCCGTTCCTTCAAACAAGGCAACATGAGGATGGATGATTTCGTAACCCGGTTCCTGGCCCTCTCCATCCAAGGGGGTCTTGGTAATGAACATGCAGTGGAGCTGCTGGAACGCAATGTATTAAGAACAAAGCTTGAAGGAAGTGTCTAGCCACTTGCTGAGAGCAATCAGGGACTGGAACTAGAGTCCAATGTGAGTAACTCTATTATTAGAGAGTATAACAGGTATACGGTACCTAGAGTCCAATGTGAGTAACTAGAGAATAGGAAGCACTGGACTCTGCAGTACTGTCCGAAGTTTTGTAAACAAAGGTAAACAAAGCAGCCACAAAGGCGAAATAATAGAGAACACAATCAATAGTGAATGATAGAAGAATAGATAGAGAAAGGAATGAAAATATATAGTTAGCACAAAGGTGCAGAATCACCAAAACTAACAGGCCTTGTGCCTATTTATCACATAGTTTGTCGCCTACAGAGCGCAACTATCAAATTTACGACAAAGAGATGCTGGCCATTATTAGAGCCTTAGAGCACTGGCGGCACTACTTAGAAGGTGTTAGACACCAATTTGAAATTTGGACCGATCATAAAAATCTGGAGTATTTTATGACGGCCTGAGACTTGAACCGAAGACAGGCCCGCTATGCGGTGTACTTGTCAAGGTTTAATTATAAATTAATTCATAAGCCTGGAAGCTCTATGGGGAAAGCGAACACTTTGTCCAGAAGAGAGGATCATGCCAACGGCATTGAAGATGTCAACAAAGGTGTTACCCTGATAGACCAATCAAGGGTTGCCAATGTTAGAATCAGGCAGGATTCCAATCTTCTGGAAATCTTCAAGAAAGACATCTCCTCAGAAAAGAAGGCACACCTTGATGGCAATGAAAACTATTTATGGGAAGACGGGCTCTTCCATTTTAAAGACAAAATCTATGTGTCTGAGTCCGCAAGGATCAAGGCAATAGATAGACATCATGACACTCCAGTGGCTGGGCACCCAGGGTGGCAACGAACAATGGAGTTGATCTCCAGAAACTAAGAATTCTCACAATTCTCACCAACCGCCGGCCGATAAACTTATGCCAAATCCGATACCAGCTGGTCCCTGGCAGGATATATCGGTTGATTTCACGACGGATCTGCCTGAGTCAAATGGGTATAATTCAGTAATGGTGGTAGTAGATCGCTTCTCCAAAGAAGTGGTATTCATACCCACCAATAAAACCATTACCGCTGTTGATGATGAGAACTGCTGTTAGAAAACCACACACAAAAACAAACTAACACACAATCCTCCCAGATTCCACGGAACTTGTGTATGGGCTTTGCCTCCTAGAAAAGTGGAGTGGTCTGGTTGTTCGTGGGGTGGTACGTATAAAGATCCTTCAAAGTAAAACCCAAAGATG